TGTAGCAATAGAACTATAAGCCACACTTTCTCCCCCCCCCCCTTCCTCCCAACTGTTCAGTGTCAAAAGGGAGGGGGGTGTCCATTTACTGTACCACTTACATTTTAGTGTGGGCTTCATCCACTATTCTGATGTTAGCTGGAACATTTGTGCCAGCTGCTGGTTTGAAAGGGAGGCATACCATGTGCCAATTCAGGAAGCTTTCCACGTTCCTCCCTGCATGTCAGCTCAGGACCTCACTACCATGTTGGGAGGCGGTTGAAGACTAACCAATCAACATCCCAGGCTGGAGAGCAGTGCCAGCTCGGGGAGAATTTACCAACTGCAAAAAATTTATTACTCTTAACAATCTACACCATCTATCTCATCTTTACCTAGCCCCCAAACCTTACATTTGTCAGCATTAAACTGCATCTGGTAGTCTTAACCATTTCAAAACTATACAGGGCATCGATATTTTTTATTTGCCAATTCTGCAACTATTGCAGTCTAAACCATAATCTTGTGAATAACCGAGGTCCAAGGAGAGCTTTTAGGCACTACTTAAAACACTTCTCCCAACTTAACCCCATTTATACTAATTTCCTTTGGTATAGCCATGACCTAATCAACTTCAGTCAGCATTCCCAATGATCCGAGCCCCTATCAATTTTGCGCCACTATCAAAATCTCTGCTGAAGTCAAGGTACACAAAATCACAAACCTTATCACCATTTCCTCAACTATGCAACCTAATCCATGAACATTTAGTAATAAAACTATGCGATTCATGTATCTAGTCATGTTTCTCAAAAAGAGTAGAGAAATGGCACTTGCAATGTTAGATTCTAGTAACTTTCCTCACAATAGACTAAGCTAATTGGTCACTAACTTAAGCGTTAAAGTTAACTCAAACTTTTCCTTTAAAACTTGCTATATTAGGAACTTTCCACGACCGGCCTTTACCCGACATAATTAAATAGGGTAAAAACGGTATATTAAATGCAGTAAAACTACGGTAAATTCAATATGATAAACTTGCATTCTTTAAGCATGGGCTGCATAGTAAGTGAACTAAACTAAATGTTAAGCACCCTGGCAAACCACTTCGTTCTATTCAATTTATTTAATCACTTTGTCCGGCTAGAATTTTTAGATTAGATTAAAGGAACACCCTCCCTGGTAACGGCTGAACTAGTTAACCAAATACAAATATTTAGGTAAAATACTTTCATAAAACCCGTCTACTTCCCCCACCAGTAGACTTGTTCAGCTAAAGGCATAATGTAATGTTCCACTTTAGTAAATAAAGACTTAAAAAAACACTACCCCATCTGTGTAGTTACCGGTTACCTGACATTCTACGCTTAAAATAACCCATCTATTCCCCATAATTGTTCGATATAACTTACCTCTCACCCGCTGGTCGAGTACACAGCAGTATATATCCTCCTCCATCACTCACCGCGTGGATACTATTTCACTCTGGCCGCAAATTGCCTCAAATCACCTACGTTGTCCATAAACATATATAGAAGAGCAACTGACCGTAACACCCGTATAGCGATCATCACATAACGTGGGAACATTAGTAGTACTGCTGTCAAAACATAGATGGCGCCAGGACAAACGGTAATTCCTATGGACTCGCCTAGTTATGCGTAGGGAATTGAGCTTCAGCTGTTTGGTCCCGCCCCTCAGCTGTATTCACCTAGTTGTACTCACCTAATTTGTGCTTGCAGGGGTTGAGCTTTGGTTCTTTGGTCCCGACTCTCAACCGTCAATCAACAGGTGTACAGGTTCCTGAGCCTATTGGGCTCTATCACATCTACATTTGAAATTGTGTATGGAGTCAGCCTCCACCACATCACTGCTTAATACATTCCATTTGTTAACTACTCTGACACTGAAAAAATTCTTTCTAATATCTCTGTGGCTCATTTGGGTACTAAGTTCCCCTTGTTCGTGTTCCACCCGTGTTAAAGAGCTGTCTTTGTAACTATCAAAATGCATATATCTTTGCTTTCACTTCAGTTATATTTATGACAAGGGATTTAAAATTTGCCTATATTTCTGCTTCTCTGATGACATTAAAAACTTTCGTTTATTACAGTATCTACATAAAATTAACATTTATCTTCATTAGGTTGTAGTTCTCATCAATAGGGAGAGCGTCGGTAAAAAAAAAAAATTGTTTAAATATAAATATCTTTCCTCTCTCAATAATATGCCCGAAACGCTATGCGTACTAGTGGCTTTAGGTATTGTATGTACTAGCTCTATCTATAAATCCAATATTATGTTTGTAAATCGACTATTTATGTACTTTCCTGAATAAAATGAACTTTACTTTACTAATATCTAATCTCTGTGACTAAAACGTAAGAACGACTTTATCTATGCCTTTTTGATAACATATACAATTATAAGCTTTATTAGTGAATCTCTATTAATTAAACAATATATCAGAGAGTGTGTAAGGTTCGGTGTTCCATGTGCGAAGAGACATGGGAGATTTTACATCAGTACAGTAAATGTTTTAAGTAGCGAACGCATACTAACGAATAACGATTAGTATAGACCAACACTATTGTTCTATGAAGTCGATTTAACTTCCAGACATGTATTTTTCAATAAGTCTTAAATATTTTCTGGCTAGTTATGTTAGATATTATTAGAAATACGTATTCTACTTGTTAATATAATAAACTAAATTTGCGATCATTTAAGGAGAGAAGTGCGACGACTGGATCACTGTGTACAGAAGGTTGATATGCCAACAAACACTTTCCAGACAACAATATATCTTGGATAAGTCGCTCCACAACATTGACACCTGGACCGTTGACTTCCTATGAGGCCACATATTTACTTATTTCATAATGGAAGTATATTATTTTATAGTAAATATATGTTTTCTCGTGTTCTGCATTAAGCACCAACATTATAGTGAATAAATATACCATATTTCTTCATTATTTAAGTAATGCTAGGAGGCTTTGAGTAGCTTTGGGTCATTAGGTGAACAGAATCTCCAATAGATGGGGCGAGAGTCGCGCTATCTCTCGCCCGAGCGAGAGTCGAAACTTATTTTAGAATTGATATATCTTTGTCCTCCAACAAGATATATTTCCTTTGGTGCACTCACAATAACGAGCATATCTCTGTCTTTCTGAAGGCATATAATATTTTAGGCTTTATAAGCGTATCTTTGTTAATTACACACTATATTGGCAAGTGCGTAGGCTTCTGCATTCCATGACCGACAAGCTACTGAATGCCACTATAAAAACGTATGTATCTTCACTTGAGCTTTATATATGTCTATGTTAAAGTATTTAAAATGAAGCTTATATTTCTATCTTTCTTGAGACATATAAAACATATGTGTTTATTAATGAATTTACGTGAAATAAGCATTGTTCTGAGAGAGAGTTGCTCTGTCGATCAGTCTGTGCGGGGTCGGAGCTCGGCGATTATTAAAACACATGTATCTTCATTAGAACTTTATATATATCTATGGTAAAGTATTTAAAATGAAGCTTATATTTCTATCTTTCTCAACACATATAAAAACATTTGCGTTTATTAACGAATTTACGTGAAATAAGCATTGTTCTGAGAGAGAGTTACTCCGTTGCTCGATCTGTGCGGGATCGGAGCTCGCCGATTAGAAAAATACACGTATCTTCGCTTTAAATACAAATATGCCCATGGTAAGGCATTTAAAATGAAGATTATGTTTCTATCTTTCTTGAGACGTATAAAAATCTTACGTTTATTAACGATTCTGCGTGAAATAAGCATTGTTCTGAGATGAATATTGCGGATTTCCGGCTCTACGACCGATGAAAAATGCAACTTTTATACAACTACAAATATCTTTAGTTTTACTTTAAATTTTGTCCTGAAAGAGTTTTCATATATAGATCCAGTTTCTGCCGTTCTTCTGACATAAAAAGACCTTTGGTTTAATAAGTTATTAAGATGTTTTCAACAATATTACTAGGGCGTTCACCGATTCTAACATGGGCGACCCTTTTGGAAACGCAACACATGGGTTGACCTGATTGATATATGGGTCAGATTCCATTAAGGTTCGGAACATTGAGGACAAATTACAAACTACCAATGTGCACAAAATACATTTTGACATACTGTATATATTTGTGTGTTTGCATTTTCCTTACCTTTTTGCATATCATTTTTTAATGATTTGTTCATAAATTAAGTACATAGGCACAGAGGCACCTTTCATCATAGCCGCACTCTACGGTTAAGGTTTTCCATAGTGTGTGCGGGTTTTTTAAGGTCACAATGTAATTACCTAAGTGTAGTTACAGGATGAAAGCTACGCTCGTTGTGTCCTGTCTACCCAGCACTCTGTCATATAACGCTTTGAAACTACTGACGGTTTTGGCCTCCACCACCTTCTCACCTAACTTGTTTCAACCGTCTACCACTATTTGCGAGTGATTTTTCTTATATTTCTTCGGCATATTTGTCTAGTTAGTTCATGACCTCTTGTTCTTAAAGTTCCAGGTCTCAGGAAATCTTCCCTATCAATTTGATCAATTCCTGTTACTATTTTGTATGTAGTGATCATATCACCTCTTTTTCTTCTGTCTTCTAGTTTTGGCATATTTAATGCCTCTAACCTCTCCTCGTAGCTCTTGCCCTTCAGTTCTGGGAGCCACTCAGTAGCATGTCTTTGCACCTTTTCCAGTTGATGTGCTTAAGATATGGGCACCACACAACCGCTGCATATTCTAGCTTTGGTCTAACAAAAGTCGTGAACAATTTCTTTAGTATTTCGATATCAATGTACAATATCTACATAAACAATACAATAAAAGATGATTTTGATGTACAATATCTACTGTGTACAGTAGATATTGAAGGAATATTTGAAAAGCAACACAGTACTGGCTTGCAAGAATGCCGCACATTGAACAGAATCAATTAAAACATTGACATTTTATTTTCAATGCTATTTGTTATGGAGAAAGAATAAAATTACAATAGTTTGAGTCTTTATTTTCCTAAATCTTTACCCTATGATTATCACAATTGTGAACACCTGTCAGTGTGGGAGCAGGTAACAAAACATTTTGGTAATGGGGATGCTGCTGCACTGCTGGGATTAATGAGCCTTAACAAACAATATGATGCAGACAATGAGTCACAATAATGTGGCTGAAGATATAAAGATTAAACCGACTTATAAAGGTCCAGGATGGCCCGAAACGTCGTCGTCTCCTCATCGAACAATATGATAGTTGTTAAATGAACAAGTCCAGAGGAAATAGCAATCCTATATGTGAATACAATATTATTATTTAAAGCTTTAAGCATTATTTGTCAACACACACCACTAAAATATTTTAGATACTTCATTAAAGGTCTAGTTTCCCCATCACTGAGGATGGGAAACCCGTTAGGCTTATCAAGGCCCCCCCCCCCACCCCTAGGACACACATTTACCTTTCCCAGGATGCAACCCACAACAGTTTGTCTAATTCCTAATACAGTTCCTACTTGTTGCTAGGTGAAAAAACACTGCCCAAGTGTTTTTGTCCTGCCACAGAAACTGAACCTAGGACCTCTCTGCTGTGATATGTACGTTTCCTGAAAACATTCCTTTAGTGTAACTACCGAGTGCTATACACCAGTATTTTTATGCCCGTTATCCGCTCTATGACCTTCATTCTTAGACTGTTTCACACACCTTTGTAATACATAAGCAATTTAGTCACTCAGGTAATTATTTGTTTCTCAATCAATTTTATTACTGTACTGTATAAAGTAAAATGTTTACTTCAGTTATTTATTACATTATTCAGGGATATACATTTGTCTCACACTATTTTATTTATCCAATACATAGTAAGTCATAATGTGTAAACATGATTCATGCAACCCCTGACCTTCCAGAAATCTTGCTCGTTCACATTACAGAGGCACACTGCACTTACACCTTACTACAACACTACCCCGTCCTCCCTCATGTTGAGTCTTGGGATAGTACTCGGCAAGTAAGCCACTTGTACAGTGCTGCTGCTGTTGCAATGTCTCTCTCTCTCATGCTGCATGACTAACTTTTAATAATTTGGCTAAGGGTACATGTAGCAGCATTATCTACTTGACTTCTATTTAATAGAAACACTAAACATTTTGTTCCCTGTGAAATTTGTATAATAATGAGTATGGTACTTCTTCCATATGTAACTATGTCATGGGCTCCTTGTTTATTCACCCAATACAGTACTGTATTAGTTAAAAAAAAAAAAAATTATTACTGTAGTATAATATAAATGTACATGAATTAAGAATATGATGTCCTGAAAACAAAGAATATATATTTTAAGATCTCTCTCTCTTTTAGGTAACAACAAAAAATTAAAAAGGGAGGGGGGGGGACCAAAATAGGGACCTTACCAACACTAGCTGATCATTCTATTGTCTCACACCCTTAGTGTTATGTAATACAGACATGCATTTCAAATTAATTTCAAAATATTTTGTTATTACCCAATAATTAACATGTGTTATCCTGGATATTGCCAAGTGTACAACACCTGGACTGTGCTTCGGTACACATTTGTGCAGTGCTTTAGTTAAGGCAGAGAGCAGGGACTATCACCACCCATGCAGTGTTTACCCTGCCCATATGGAATGATGGAATGTTAAGGGGTTGATCAGTCCGGCAACCAGGAGGCCTGGTCGACGACAGGGCCGCGGGGACGCTAAGCCCCGGAAGCACCTCAAGGTAACCTCAAGGTAAGGTAAGGGGGAAGAGCAAAGGGGTTGCACTGCACATGCAGCGTCGTCCCGACCTGAAATTAGTTGAGGCCGAGCAGCTACTACCACCTTACAAGCAGTGTGTCTCCTGCCTGAATGGAGTAGTATGCCATTTCTTGCATGTCATTGTCCATCACAACTTCAAAAACCTTACCTCCCTGAAATTATAAAGAAATTGTAAATAATATTTAAGAAAAGTTGTAAGATAAAAATGTGATTTTAATGTCATTATGTTTACACTGCATAATGCTAGCTTGATATTACAGTACAGTATATAATAAGTGTAACACTGTATAATGATAGTGATATTATATAATGCCAGTTTGACATTACAGTATGCAATGGTAGAATTTAAACATTTTGTTACATCAACGTTAAATTTCAGTACTGTATTTAAATTGCCAGCATTTGCAAGCATGTCAAGTTGTGTATGGGAGACTATCTGTTTATAAAGTAGATTTCCCATGCTTGCGAGAGCCTGTCGACTCATCCTCAACACACACACTGACACTTACCGGAGGATTTGGTTCTGGTTGAGGTGTGTGTAATAGCACAAAAAGATTTTATAACTAATTACAATAAAAAAGTATTAAGTTATATATAAATAAATTATACCTACCAGTAAATGCTTTTCACAATACAAAAGATCTTGTAACTAAGTAACATAGCAGCTATATATATTCTGATATAGGTGCCGTATGAACCAACTTAAATATGAGCAGACCTCTGAAAATGTCTGTTCAGCATCTACACTAATTCAGACTGAATGTGATTAATGATCATCATGCTTGATGGTAAAGAGTTTTGTAACTTTTGTTATCAAGTAACGTACAGTTACGCCATTCTGTTAAAAGATTTTAATTGTGTAACTCATCTTACAACAGGGGGTAACCCAGCTTCACAGTGCCTCACCTTACAATAGGGGGTAACCCAGCTTCACAGTGACTCACCTTACAACAGGGGGTAACCCAGCTTCACAGTGCCTTACCTTACAACAGGGGGTAACCCAGCTTCACAGTGACACCTTACAACAGGGGGGTAATTCAGCTTCACAGTGCCTCACCTTACAACAGGGGGTAACCCAGCTTCACAGTGACTCACCTTACAACAGGAGTAACTCAGCCTCATTGGGAGTGCTGGATTGATTTTGAGTTGCCTCTTAAGCATCATTTTTACTTTGGCCACTTTGATTGAAGGCAAAAATGTCTTCACATACTCTTCCCTCTCAGGATGATCAGGTGTAATTATCTTCAACTCAATCTTGAGATTTTTTAGCTTTTGACGCTTCTGGGTATTGTAGCTGGTTTCATCCATAGGCGGACCAAGATCTGTCATAACATGAGCACGTTTACAATGCGTTTACTAATCATATTGGTTTTCCTTGATGACCATAATGACCTTATAGTTTCCCATAGTAGAAGACAAGAAATCTTTAGGGTTATCAAGGTCCAGCTAAGCCAACTACTGACCTTTCCCATGATACAGCCCACAACAGTTGCTTAACTCTCAGGTATCTATTTACTGCTAGATGAACAGAGGCATCAGATGAAAGGTTAGATTGCCCAATGTAACCTTTCTATCTTGCAAATGTTTGTCCCACAGCAGGAATCAAACTTGGGACCTTTTAGCTGTGACCTGATTGAGCTTACCATTGCACTACAGGACCGTAATATTACAGTACTGTACATTAATTACACATCCACAGAAAGACGAGAAATCAAAAAGTGCCAATACTGAATCTAGCCTGGCTATTTCTTAATGGAAGTACAAACAATGTAAGGCAGGTATTTAAAGAGAACTATTTAATCAAAATATTGTTAAAATACAAAGAATATAAATTTTGATTACTGTTTCTGTTAGTCCACATATTTATTTATTGCTTAAAAAAAACAAGCATTCCACTTCATTCGACTGAAATCATTTGCATATTCAGTACACTAATTGTAAAATCTCTGTTGCACTGGTTCTGCTTTTCAGCCTTCAGTAAACTAGTATACAGGTTACTGAGTCTATTATGAATCTTATATGAAGCTGTGAATGGAGTCTGCATCCACCACTTCATTTTAAAGTGTTGTTCACTTGTTCAATACTATAAGACTGAAAATAATCTAATGCCTCAGTGGCTCATTTGGAGACTTAGCTTCCATCTGAGTACCAGATAGAAACCTGTTTGCCCAGTCAATTCCCCATGGGAATATTTTATGCTGTAACACTACACCTATTAGCAATCTTGCCAGCACAGTACTGTATATACACCATCCATAAAACAGTATTCAAATTGCAAGAGAAAAAATTGAGGCATTAAAATACTGCAGGTTACATTCTATTTTGATAAAACAGATTTGCTCTTTTGAATCTTCAAATGTTATATACTTACCTTTAACAAGCTGTGCATATCCAGGATGTTTATGGGTGAAGTCTTCACTGAGGGCATCAGTGGCACCATCTTCATTCCCCCCACTACTGTAGTACTCGTTGCCAAAGGACTTTAGGTAGAACAGCTCACAGTCTCTCTTCTCCTTTGGAGTTAGTCTAGTTCGATTTAGCACCTATAATGGTAAATCTGAACATTGCATCATTCAAAATATTTTTACTTTTCCATGTAATCTAGTCACTTGAAAATTGTACATATTGTTTTGTTGGTACTGAAACTCTAAAATCAAAATCATGTAACTACAGTACACACATTAGACAGTGAAAGACAAAATAATTTTACTTTCTCAAGAAACTTAAAAATAAGTCTGTGAAGTTATTTTCAACACAGAATAATACAGTATTAAGTAATTATCCTCATTCAAGAAACATTTCTCCATTTTTTAGTGTGTAAACATTTGTATACACACAAGAATATATAAAAGGCAATGCATGAAACACTTTGATGCTCTGGTGTTGGGGAGGTAGTTGTAACAATGATACACGATACCGTCGCTTATTGTAGTGACAATACTGGTGAAAGGTGGTGATGCTGGCTGTTGGTTGAGGAGAGAGTGGCAGAGGTGTGGTAGCAAGTTCGGCTATATGCACAAGTTGTAGCACAAGGAATGATGGTGGTACAACAGACTGGCATCTTTTTCTTAACCAGCTAGTAGGGCATTGGCTATTAAATGAACAAATCCACAAGGGCTGTGATGAGGGTTCGAACCTATGTCTGAGAGGATCCCACATGCGCCTTAATCAATTGTGCTATGACATGTAAGGCACGCCTGGGATCCTCTCAGATGTAGGTTCGAACCCTCATCATGGCCCTTGTGGATTTATTCATTTGATGCATCATGCAATTGTGATTTGTGTGTGTCATTGGTTATTCTTCACTCTCCAGACTAGGCAGACAGGATGGACTTGTGCTTCCACTTAATGAGTGGCACTGCTTAATTTTATGAGTTGGAGCATTCATGTAAATAATTTTTATGCTACTGATTTTTACTTGGCTGCTTTGCCTTTGCCTGCTCCATTGGGTGGGTGCTGCAAAAGGCTGTACTAACGGATCCGTCTAATTACACAAAGCTACCCAAACTTACTCAAAGCTACACAAAGTTTCCTAGCATTATGTTAGTAATGAATAAATATGATATATTTATTCATTATAATGTTGGTGCTGAATGTAGAACATGAAAAACATATTTTTACTCTGAAAAGTATCATTATACTGTATATCAAAATTAGATGAAATAAGAAGCTGGTGACGCCAAAGCAAGTCGACGGTCCAAGCGACAATGTTTGCTGGCATATGAGCCTCCTGTACCTACCTAACCTAACCAACCTATACAAGCATAACCTAACTAAACCTAACCTATCCAAACGTAACTTAATATAACCTCTAGGCAACAATGTCTTGAATAATTTGTTCATCTTGGATAAGTCGCTCCACAACATTATCGCTTGCATTGTCGACTTCCTATGGCCTCTCGTGCCACGTAGTTTCGTTTAATTTCACTATAAATTTATATTATTTCAGAGTAAAAATATGCTTTTTCATGTTCTGCATTCAACACCAACAATATGGTGAGTAAATACTGTACTTATATCATATTTTTGTATTATTTACGTAATGCTAGGAAGCTTTGGGTAGCTTTAAGTAAATTTGGGTAGCTTTGGGTAATTAGACGGACCGGTACTAACCTATTATTTTGTTGTGAAGATTACACTGAGTTGGTGATTCAGTAGGTGCCAGTTCTTGATCAAATGGTAAGATTGATGATATTCTGGAGTGATATAAGAATTTGGCCCAAGACTGAACCTTTGTTGAATTGTCTGAATATCTATTGCAAATTATCAGTGTACCTAGTCATAAAAGCATTTATGTCTACGTTTGGTAACATACTGCATGTGTAAAGGAAGAAATGTACATGTTTATCACTCAAAATGTTCAGTAATATGCTCATTGTTTGTGATGTGTGTGTATGTATATGTATATATTATATTATATAATATACATACACAGTATATATTGAACACATTGTACTGACTGGGGTGAGAATAACTTGAGCTATCTCATTCCTTTGTGTGTATTTATACCTCAATAAACTTATTTTAATTTCAATTCTTGATCCCCTTGCATTTTCTATACACTTTGCTCTTCTGATTTTTTTTTTTTTTGCTTTCTCTCTATCTTCCTTAGACATGTCTTGGCTAATGTACACTACATAATTTGTCTCCTCATCTCTCGGATTCCCTTTCTTCTGCCAGTCTGCATATTTTGTTGTAGCACTGTTCTGAATGAATACCTTTACTGGTCAGTGCCAACCACGCTGGGTAATAGTGGGGGTGGGTAATGGTTCTGACTGATTACCTTCACTGGTCAGTGCCAACCATGTGGGTAATAGTGGGGATGGGTAATGGTTCTGACTGATTACCTTCACTGGTCAGTGCCAACCACGCTGGGTAATAGTGGGGGTGGGTAATGGTTCTGACTGATTACCTTCACTGGTCAGTGCCAACCACGCTGGGTAATAGTGGGGGTGGGTAATGGTTCTGACTGATTACCTTCACTGGTCAGTGCCAACCACGCTGGGTAATAGTGGGGGTGGGTAATGGTTCTGACTGATTACCTTCACTGGTCAGTGCCAACCATGCTGGGTAATAGTGGGGGTGGATAATAGTGGGGGTGGATAATAGTGGGGGTGGATAATAGTTGGGGTGGATATTACATATTTATGGTTAACATGATAGGGCTCCAACTTGTGGTGTCCTGACTTCCTTTTGTATTTTAGTTATTTTACTCTTACAGTGATAAGACAGAGAATCAGAGTTAAGAAATATTAAAACGTAACAATTGCATCTTCCCTACAAGTCAGTTTTATTACCTTGAGATTTGCAATCCGAGCAAAAGTAAACTCATGGAAATAAGGATAAGCATTTCCATCATAGCTAATGACTAACTCCTCCAAGCTGGCCAACTTATTAAGTTCTCCTGTAGCTTCCCACTGAAATAAAATTACAACAAATTAATAACCATCTCTTTTCTTTCAAATATACAGTAATACAGCATTTATGAACCAATCGTTAGTTCAATGGACACAACCATTTGATCTGTCAGTTCAAAAGACAAATTATTATGTTTCATTTCTCAAGTCTGTTTAAGTCTCAATATATTATATTATGTTACTTTTGGATTTAGGCTTAGGGTCTGATACCAAATCTCGCTTAGTTTAGCAGGGAAATACACTATGCAGGCTGTATGCAGTTTTAATAATAATCAATAATGGTTTGTTATAATATTTATTATTTTTAATGCATTGCTTTAATGTAATTCATATTATAAACAAAGATCTTTGTGTACCACTCAGTAACATGAGAGAAAACCTAAAAATTCAAATTTGTGATTAAGTGAACAAGAACTCTGACTATACCACTGAGCCTTAGATGAAGGAAACTTCTGAATAGATGTTTCATGCTCATTCACAAAGGGCATGATGAACTGAGCTCTAGACAGAAACAAGGTGGCATCGATCTCAAAGCTATGAGGGAAGGTACTACACACCCCCACATACAGGAATTATGAAGTAACGTAATAAAGTATCACATCAAGTGTGATAGCAAAACAAACTATCAATGGAAAGGAGATATCTGTATACCCTTCTACTTCTACAATGGTGGTGCTTCTATGGATAGCTAAATCTGAATACATATTATAAAGCAATTTAAAAGATTTTTGTTAGGAGAAATCGTGAATAATACTGTACATAACTTACTGTTTCTAATGGGTTGTTAACAATCATCAAGTGCTTGAGGGATGGGAAGAGGGTGGTCTTTCCTGTTGTGGATGTGGAGGGGAACTTAATCATTCTCAGTTGACAGCCGTTAGCATTCAAGCTTCGAAGCCTATATTAAAAACATACAAAATATATAAAGTATAAGAATAAATACAAAAGCTATACATGTTAATATTTACAAAGGATAATCTTCATTCTACCCATTATCACTATAGTAAACTATTTACACTACAGACACCTGCCAATTTTATGTGAAAATGTGTTATCGATACAACAGATACTTTTTTATCAAGTGCTGTATAATATCTTATGGGAAAAATAGGATGTTCCAGGACCAAGAATTGCATTACAAAAATTTAAATAATGAGTGTTCTGTAATATACTTATACAGTACATGATTTGCCAACACTAAAATCTGTATCATAGGTCATGTTATTTTTTAACTCATCTCCACTGAGATGATTCTATCAAACACACAAATGAATTCTAAAAACTTAAACCAAGGACTTTTTTTTCAAAATATACTGTAATAGCCATATTATTACTTGGGAGAGAATAGGACAAGAGAATATGGGAAGAAATTAAAAATGCAAATGAGTCAGATAATAATGAAAGTGTTTGTTTGAAGTGCAAGTGATCAACAAGATGAATGCACCGAAATGCACAGTTTCAAGAGAAAATATTTGAGAACTTTAAAATATTACCTAGAGATTAAAACACACTAGATACAATTAGCTGGAAGCAGGAAACACAAAGCTAGATCTCACTCCCTGTAGACAATAGTTAGTAAACAAGATAAAACAAGTTTTCTCTTTCTATTTCTAGCAACTCCTAAACTTTCATGTCTTAAACTTACTACCCTGATCATTTCATTTACCTACAGCATCAACAAGTTTTTAGAACATACTCACTCAGAACCTACAGAGATTACATGCACACAGCTAATGGCAGTCTCACATGTGTGTCACATCCAAAATCCAACACTAGCCAACATTAGTGCTAAGTGTAATGAACAAAAACACACAACAAATTTTGATGTCTAAATAATGTGCTCAAAAGTTAGTATATAATAAAAATTAGCAGTACAGGCAGCCCTCAGTTTGCATGGGAGTCTTATTTTTTAACCTTGAAAACTGCATAGATTAATGTTAAAGGAACAGTACAAGACAAATAAGGTTAGGTTTCATTAACCTACAAAAATAAATTTTTCCCACTTTCTCAATAAAGCAGAACATTATTATTTAACATTCTCTCCACTTTCCCGCCAAATGCAATATAACTTCCATTTGTACACAGTAACAACAATCACACTGGAAAATTGGCTTAAACTACAGCATAGACAACTAAAGCCGACTTTCACCCAGGCCCACCCTCCACACACACACACTATTGATCACACGGAATTGAAAGACGAGATACAAGGAGAGGTTAAAGGCATTAAATGTGCCAAAGATAGAAGATAGAAGAAAAAGAGGTGATATGATCACTACAAAGATGACAAAGAGTACTGGGAAGACAGGACATCAACTGGGAAGACAGGACATCATGAGCATAGCTCTCATCCTACAACTACACTTAGGTAATTACACATGATATTAGTCACACACACCTGCAATACTGGTCACATACACGCACTATACTGATCACGCGCATGCATACGATACGGATTACATACACACACAATGATATTGATCACCATATATAATATAGTGACAGGAATGCACACAGTTGACAATATAGAATTTGTTAAACCTACAACTTCAAGAACAAGAAGCCATAACTTCAAGTTAAGGAAACAACTGTGCTGAAAAATAACTGAAAATTCTCTTTTGCAAACAGTTGTAGACAGTTTGAACAATTCGGCTGATTTGGTGGAGGATGCCAAAACTATTAGTGCTGTAGATTCAAAGTGTTGTACAACAAAGAGTATAGGGAAGAGAAACCATAAGCATAGCTATCATCATGCAATTACACTTATTAACACAGACCTTGGAATTGTACCCAAATGATTGACCTCTTCCCAGGAGGCAATAGGATTGACTCCAATGTCTAGTTCTTCTAATGTATCAAAAAGGCCAGCAGGAATTTGTCCCAGTGCTTTCAAGTTATTGAAAGCTACCTGTGAAAAGAAAACCATGCTAATTTATAGTGATAAAATATTATATACAGTGTAACCTCCAAAATGCAGCTCCTTTTGCAACAAAAAATTTATTTTAATATCTAAACAATGGACCACCCGTACTTTTGGAGAGTCATTCAAAATTCTAATTTAAATTTAGATCTGTTAACATTTATGGTGAAAGTTAGAATGTAAACAAGCAATTTTCAGATTGTTTCTAGAAATCTGGGGCCAGATTCACGAAAGCACTTATGCAAGCACTTACGAACATGTACATCTTTCCTCAATCTTTGACGGCTTTGGTTACATTTATTAAACAGTTTACAAGCATGAAAACTTCCCAATCAACTGTTGTTATTGATATAAACAGCCTCCTGGTGCTTCGGAGCTCATTAACTGTTTAATAATTGTAAACAAAGCCGCCAAAGATTGAGGAAAGATGTACAGATTCGTAAGGGCTTGCGTAAGTGCTTTCGTGAATCTTTCCCCTGGTTTCTTACAGTACTCTACTTTTCAAAGTTGAATACTGTACTAATATACTCATTCGACAAATTTACAAGATTATGGTACAAGACAAATATCAAGTTCTAATTTTGAGGATAATGTATTCATTTGACGAAAGCTTATGGGTAACACTTTTGAAAGTCAAAAAGAAAATTTCAGGTCAACCCCCAAATATTCCTGAAACTGATAATGAGGCATTAATGCAACATGTGTACATGTATAGATCAATTAAGTTTAAACACAAAATGAATAGCTGTCTTTGATTATATGGCCTTAGTGATTAACATATATATTGATACGTTCCTCTAAAATAAGAGGAACAGGGACAACATACGGATACATATACAGATTTTTCTAAGCTATGCAGAACATAACTCTTACCTGTAACCTGCTGAGCTTTGGGAACATTGAGGAGCAAGTGAGAAAATCTTGCCAGGTGTACACCATCATATTGTTGAGAACCAGATGGGTAATGTGACCAACACTTTCCTGGAGATCATTTGGGCACTTGGGAACATCTAGTAAATTCCCACTGAAATGTGATATATGTATTCCATTATTAAACAGATATGTGCATCAAGGTTTCCCTATAGCACTAATATATCTTAACAAAATGTAATATGATACTAGAGTGCATTTTGAAACACCACAATTGGCCTAACAGGTTTCCTCTCCTCTACAAACACCTCAACTGGCCTAACAGGTTTCCTCTCCTCTACAAACACCTCAACTGGCCTAACAGGTTTCCTCTCCTCTACAAACACCTCAACTGGCCTAACAGGTTTCCTCTCCTCTACAAACACCTCAACTGGCCTAACAGGTTTCCTCTCCTCTACAAACACCTCAACTGGCCTAACAGGTTTCCTCTCCTCTACAAACACCTCAACTGGCCTAACAGGTTTCCTCTCCTCTACAAACACCTCAACTGGCCTAACAGGTTTCCTCTCCTCTACAAACACCTCAACTGGCCTAACAGGTTTCCTCTCCTCTACAAACACCTCAACTGGCCTAACAGGTTTCCTCTCCTCTACAAACACCTCAACTGGCCTAACAGGTTGCCTCTCCTCTACAAACACCTCAACTGGCCTAACAGGTTTCCTCTCCTCTACAAACACCTCAACTGGCCTAACAGGTTTCCTCTCCTCTACAAACACCACAATTGGCCTAACAGGTTTCCTCTCCTCTACAAACACCTCAACTGGCCTAACAGGTTTCCTCTCCTCTACAAACACCTCAACTGGCCTAACAGGTTTCCTCTCCTCTACAAACACCTCAACTGGCCTAACAGGTTTCCTCTCCTCTACAAACACCTCAACTGGCCTAACAGGTTTCCTCTCCTCCACAAACATTGCTGTGCATATTCACTTACATATTCACTTATGTCATCAAACAGCTGCTGCTCACCAGCAGTTATCATTCACTCACTTGCTCACGCCATTAAGGTATACTACTTGAGCAGTGTGCACTTAAAAAAGTACACATTCTTTAGTCTACACATATACATATAAACCTTGCTAAAGAAAAACCTGGAGTCCTTAAGACATGCGTACTTGATTAAATTTTGTACGAGGTGCTTGTAAATGCTAAATCGTAGTCAATTATTTCTTTATTATGTAAATTTGTACCGACATATTAGCCCTTGATTGGGCTACATCATACTAAAGTTCAATGCACAGGTGTGAAAGGAAACATGTATGTAAACCTTCACTACAGAATATATTATGCAAATCTTGAAAGACAAATCAACCGAGATAATTCTTGATTCTATCAACTCAAGATTATTTTCTGTACATTTAGAGTAGAGTGCTACTGTACTCCTTAAAATTGAGAGAGGGTACTATACTGTAGACGATTCAGCAAGGAATGACTTTCCAGGTTCTCCACCATTCTCTTCCTGGTTACTCTCTCTAGTACCTTACAAGGAATGCATTTTAGTGACCCTTGTTCATAGTATAGTGCTTCCTCTCTGACCCATATTTTTTTTAATATTGGGACTTAATTTACCTTTTATAGATTTCTGGAAATTCTCTAATCTACTGATTTATGTATTTAAAAACCAAGTTAGCGGATAACAATACCTCATCAGCCTCATTCAGCAGTCACTGTGATATATATTCTGGCCCTACTGCTCTTATTGTACCTACATTACATATGTAACTTTGACTTCATCTACAGTGATTACTATACTGTGTAATGCTCCTTCTCATCATCTGTCTCAGCTCTGGTCCTTGACTCCATATTTTATGGTAGGGGTTTCCTTTCTTTGACTGACCTGAGCCACATAGTCTACTACTTATAATAACCATTCACTTTTAATACCAATAATTTTAAATGACACACAAAATTTGACCTTATATTCAAGAGGCGAAGGCAAGGCAGTTGGCGTGTGATGCACCCAACACTGCTCCAGGACGAGAGGAGAGAGTTAGAAATATCCAAATGCTGAAGTTTGGGCAAAATGATTTGTAGGTCACACTCATCAGTTCCCCATACCATCGACCCGGTCAGTATGACTGTATCCAACTCTTCTAATCTTCTGCAAAATAATAATAATAAATTAGTTCACAAAATAATATATATACTGGCAATGTTTCTGTGTAATTGCCTTCCCTAGTGTATTTGTCTGATGCTTTGCCAACAATCTCAAACTTGAACTAGAGGTTCAAGTTCAACCAGTCTGGAAAAATAGTATAAATAAAACCTCTCTCTAATTACAATATATAAGAACAAAAACTTATCACTAAACAAATAGAACAAATGAGATTTCAAATCTATATAAAAATAACTTTTCTGTGCAGAGACATTTGGTTACTTCCTAATGCAAGACTGTTGTATCAGGCACAATTTATCAAGTTAGACAAGCTAGCATTCAAGCACCAGCACCATAGTCATTTATTCAAACATCTCTGCAGGGTCATAATAGTTGCTAGGAAGGCACTGGTTCAATCAAATCCAGAATGATTGTTTCAGGTCCATCCATGAGGGTACAAGCTCAACCAAATCTACACACGTTACTCTTGCCAAGAGAGGCCTTACAACTGCTTGTTTGCCTGGCTGCTCAAACTAGAAAATCACTACCAGGTTGTAGCACTGATACTACCTAGTGTTCTCAAACTTACACCATGTTACATTCATGCCAATGCAACACAAAATCTGCTTATACGATAGAATGGAAGGATGAGTAGATGTGAAAGGCAACCAAGGACCTCTTCACAAAAAGATGATTTCCAAATAAATTTCAAACCTTATTTCTAAGCTATAACATTCAGTTGCTCCCTATTTTGAGCCTTAGAAAGAGCCCCCCACAGAACCAGGAAAAAACAAATAAGGAAAAGATACTGGTTGCTGCTTCTACCATACTATCCCCCTTATTTCACCTTTGTACACCCTACTACAGTAGTTAAATGATTCTCAGGCATCTTACAAACATGTCAATAACACTCGAGTGTATTACACCTCATCCACGCCACAACTCCATATTTCATTCCCCTCACATGTTTCACTCATACCATACATACATATACCTTTTGCTATATCAATCCCACATGATTTCACTAGTTGCTTTCCTCCAAAAAGTCACTTCCTTTTGTTATTAAGCATTCTATATCTTTCCATACCTAAGTTTCTCTTCCATATGTCAGGGCTGGAAGTTGTATACTGTCTCAGCACTTTCATAACTGCTATAAAAACATGCCTTCCTTACATTGTGCTATTTACCTCTATCACTTTACTCCCACTCATTATCTTCTCTCCGAATCTTCCATACTCCATTTTTATGTAACACTGCCTCAAAGCATTTAAAATTAAGTTATCTTGAGATCTTGAGGTTATCTTGAGATGATTTCGGGGCTTTTTCTAGTGTCCCTGCGGCCCGGTCCTCGACCAGGCCTCCACCCCCAGGAAGCAGCCCGTGACAGCTGACTAACTCCCAGGTACCTATTTACTGCTAGGTAACAGGGGCATTTAGGGTGAAAGAAACTTTGCCCATTTGTTTCTGCCTCGTGCGGGAATCGAACCCGCGCCACAGAATTACGAGTCCTGCGCGCTATCCACCAGGCTACGAGGCCCCATTAAACATTATTGCCAACAGCATTTGGTGTTCCCAGGCGGTCACCCATCCAAGTACTAACCAAACCCAACGTTGCTTAACTTCGCTGATCGGACGAGAAGCGGTGTTCTCAACGTGGTATGGCCGTTGGCATAAGTACCTCTTACAACACCATACAATGTTTTGCCCGAAATGCTGTGCGTATTAGTGGCTTTAGGTGGCTTTAGCTAGTATGTACTAGCTCTATCTAGAAATCCAACATTATGTTTGTAACTCATTTTGAACGTATGTACTTTTACCTAAATAAACATTTATTTATTGCAGACGAGAAGTCACAATAACGTGACTGAAATATGTTGACCAAACTACACACTAGAAAGTGAAGGGACAACGATGTTTTGGTCGGTCCTGGACCATTATCAAGTTGATTGTGAATCATTCTCACAATCAACTTGAGAATGGTCCAGGACGGACCGAAAAGTTGTCGTCCCTTCACCTTCTAGTGTGTGGTTTGATCAACATTTATTTATTATTTATTTATTTATATACCATTTCCTACATTTTTATCCTTTGGAAATTATTTTATGCTTTTTCAATATAATTTATACCATATATATATTCTATTACTTCTTCATTTATAATAATAGTACAATTTTGCTTAATACACACTGTGTTAGACAACATATAGTATACTTTGCACACAGTACACAAGGCATCCACTTCAAAATCTTCATTCTTTATTGCAAACATCTGCACCACATTAACTCATTCACAAGTTGCATTTTAAATACAAAATTTGAAAGTTTAACAATGTAACAAGATTTATCATCATCTCCGAATCACATCCAGTTTATAAATTTCATAAATTTCACGGCAACACCCCACTGCTGCCATGGAGCTAAAGCAAGTCGAGACATTAATTGTAAACACAACATAAATGAAAACCAAGTTACAATTCTTACCCCTGTTTCTCTGCAACTTGATCCATCCCCACAACCTCAACAAATCTTGCTTTGATTGTTCTCTGCAGCTGCTCAGTTACCTGAAAGAACAAGATTAATCACTTGATTATCTGCAGTTGTTAAGAAGAAATTATGCCACATATATGCAAAAGCAAGATAAACACTAATCAAACATATGTGCTGAGCAAGTGAACAGCTCCTTTCTGAGCATGGTATCCTGCCCCTCACAAAGATGTTATCAATAAGATGAATCGCCATGCCTGAACACATTAACCATGAGATTCACTGACACACCCCAACACATTACCCATAAGATGCACTGCCACACCCCAACATATTATCTGTAAGATGCATTGCTGCACCCCAACACATTACCCATGAGGTATGTGACTTCAATTCAGGCAAGATAACATCGAGCATCAGCACCACACAGTCACAAGTGTCCACATACTGTAGGGTTACTAGGGACGGTACCTGGCATTGCCTGGGTCCATCTGTCTCCCATTTGTCCCATCTTGCTATCTATCTATCTTTCCACTCATCCATCCATCCATCACTAAATAACTTATCTAGCTTTCTATCCATCTATAAATCTATTTATCCATCTCTTTATGCACCTATTCATTCATCTATCTACTGTCTCTCTCGTAAAAATATAATTGTCTAATGTCTGTGTGATCGCCGATAAGAGGAGCTTAGCAGTGTGAAGTAGAATAGTTACCCTGTAAACTGAGAGAGTGTGGCTTGAGTAACCTTTGAAGCAGTTGGATGGTCGTTTGTTTCATGCGAATACATGTACGAGCAAATTATGGACAGCAAGAAAATCATTGATTATCCCGAGATCAGTGAATAATGGTGTATATTACTCTTAAAAACATTTTTCATTTTAATAGTTTGTTTTCAACATATTTAGCTGTGCAGCTGGCAGGCAGTGCCAAAAATCGTCATGGGCGTTTGAATGTGGCCCTGGTACGCTGTTCCCCTTTAAATTCTGGTGACCTTGACCAGCCTATGTTCATCCCAGACCATTATCTCTGTCAATTTGGGTGAAGCTAGGCCCAAGTGTCTGGCCTCCAACTTCAAACAGACAGACAGACATTCTGTCTTATAGTATAGATATAAGGTTCATGGTACTGTAATTACTCGCGGCAAGAGTCCATCCTGTACTGGATCAAACAGAGATTCAGCAGTTTGTTCACTCTCATGACCTCTAATGGAAACTGCTCAACCTATCATCTCACGTCAACATTAATTCAACTTAAATACATAATGGACATTGTTTTCCGAGTAAAAACAAGTGGGTTGCGAAAAAAATTCTCATGGAACACATTCATAACTTGGGGACTTCAGACAGTAGGCGCCTGACTGGAGTCTGCCGTGGGCGCCTGACAGCTGGGTGGACAGCACTTCTGATTCGTAGTCCTGAGGTTCCGGGTTCGATCCCTGGTGGAGGCGGAGACAAATGAGAAAAATGTTTTTCACCTTGATGCTCCTGTTCACCTTGCAGTAAATAGGTACCTAGGAGTTAGACAGCTGCTACGGGCTGCTTCCTGGGGGTGTGTAGCAAAAAGGAGGCCTGGTCGAGGACCGGGCCGCGGGGACGCTAAGCCCCAAAATCATCTCAAGATAACCTCCCTGTACACTAAGATAATACCACATATACTGTAACACTAGCCTACTTGCCTGCAATTCAACAGCAGTGTCGCCTTGATATCTTCCCCGTACTGCTGCCTCCAAAGATATCCCAGTGCTCACTTTTGTAGGACGTACAAAAGACCCAGAAGTAGGAAACCTGGAGAGAAATTAAATTTAAAAAACAAAAAAGCACTGTTCACTGTAGGTACAATCACTGTAGGATTAGGTAGCTAGTCCTCTGCACTTTTTTTTTTTTTTTTTACATTAGACATCATATTTATTATCTCATTTTCCACTTCCACCTCAAATAGTAGAAAAAATAGTAAATAATTTAATAAAAGAAAAATGCAACTATTTATTTAACTATTAAATATTTAAATATCACTTATCCATTTGTTATATGATTCATGCCATACAATAAAGTAGCAACAAAAACAAGCACCAATACTCCTCATGAATTGTCATATATAGTACAAACTAGTACTGTACTGTACAGTCATTCCCCTCTCTACAAACTGCATTAACCCAGCCTTATTAACACTGGTTGTTCCCTCAAAAATCCGCCGACACACACACGCATTGAAGAAAATGAACTGGAAAGCAAGTGCAATGAGGAGAGGTTAGAGGTGTTAAATATACCAAAGCTAGACGATAGAAGAAAAAAGGCGATATGATCACTACGTACAGGCATACCTCAGAATAAGAGTTTAATCCGTTCCTGGAGACGCCTCGCCTTCCGAAAACTCGCATTCCGAAGTTAATTTCCCCATAAGAAATAAAGGGAAATGAATTAATCCGTTCCTGACTACCCCAAAAACCCCACATCAAACTAAATTTTTATACCTAATTTACCTAATTCATCTAAATAAACCTACAAAACTGTGTTCCAGTTATTACTTACCTTACTGTCGAGTGCTGTAGGCGTATGGAAGATGGTGAGGAGGGGGGAGGAGGAGAGGAGTTACTGTTTGGAAGGGGAGTCCCCTTCCATAATCACATCACATAACCCCATGCCTTGTAACACTATGGATACCACTTCTCTTTCTAAATTTTTCAAACCAGCCCCTGCTTGCCTTAAACTCTTTCTTATCTGCATCACTCGTTGCAGGGGTATTCTTTAGAAGGTCTTCGTGCAACACCCTGGCTTTCTCACAAATAATGGCCTCCGAAACACTATCACCCCTCAACTCCTTGTCGTGTATCCAAATTAATAACAACTTTTCCACTTCTTCAAGTATTTGTGCCGTTAATGTTCTTACTCCTTTTGCCACTTTAGCACCCATAATCTTATTTTTCTTCTTAAGTATAGTGCATATTGTTGATGTGGCTTTGTTGTACTGCCTACAAAGTTCAACAACACGTGTACCGTTCTCATGCTTCCGAATGATCTCTTGTTTCTCCTCTATTGTCATCCTCACAGGAGCTTTCTGGCCTTTATCCTTACCACTGGCTTTCTTGGGACCCATGGTGAGATATATAATAACAAATTGTATAGACAAATCACCAAAAATCCAACAAAACACTGAAAATCCGCGAGAAGAATTGATGTGGGGGTAGTCACTGAGCGCCAGACAATAATAAACTGAGGGGCGGAGGGGCGACGAACGCGCTAGGTCGGCTGTACGCGTATCAACAAACTCGCGTCCAAACTCGCCTCCCGAAGTAACCCTCGCCTTCTGAGACAAATTTTTGGAGTAAATACACCTCGCCTTCCGAAAATCTCGCATACAGGGACAATCGCATTCCGAGGTACCACTGTACGTACAAAATAGCAACAAGAATCTATAAAATAGACAAAAAAAGAATTTTTAAAACTGCAACTTCAAGATTGAACTATCTTACCTTGTCTCAAAGTATTTGACCCCATTATGAGATCCATTATGCCTGCCCCGGGCAGCATCATCCCAGTCTATACCATACCACTGTCCTTGTGTGGTAGGAATTTCACCAATCCATTTTACTGTTCCTCGAGCTCCCTCACATTCTATCCGGCTACCAATCATGACTGCCGAGTTGGCCATCTGTGGAGAGTATTGCCTTACTATCTAATAATATTGAGGTGTATTGACTTTAATAAGGATATAAAATATAGTAAAACAAAATATTATATAATAATATAGAGGAAATTAGCAGAAATTTACTTGCTTTACATTCTATAACTTTGTTGGTAAATATTGAGGGTTAACTCTTGAAGTGTGGCTATCATCATACTTTGATCCTAGGGTAAAGCAGTTGTCATATGATAACGTAATCATATGAATTATATATCGATTTTAGTTATCTCCCAGTTTTTATAAAAACTGTGCAAACAGGGTTATAATACTGCTATCATTCTGAATTGCTAATATCTATGAGATTATCTTGTACAGTACTAAAATTCATGTGATTATCATCAAATCACAATTTAGTGCAGAGTAAATCACAATAACATGGCTGAAAATTAAACACCCAACCCACACATTTGAAAAGAGAGAGAACATTTGGATCTGTCCTAGACCATTATCAAGTTGTGTAAAGAGTGTGTGACAAAAAGTTTATATAAGGCTACAAGATGAGGTGAAAGGTGTGGAGGTAAGAATGAAAAATGCCGGAGAACAGAGGGGCCAACAATGCAGTATCTGAACATGGCAAGGTCATACTGTGAAGCATTTGGGGAAGAATTTCGAGTGCATACTCTAATTGTTAACACTTTCAGCTCGCTGCTACGGATATTGCGTCCATAATTAACTCTACGGATGTCCGGCGGAAACGCATTTTACATCCAAAATTAAAATATTTGTTAAAATTCCATTTATTGTTTGATTATTATGGGAATAGTTTTAAAATGCATGCCATAAGATTGTGAATAATTTGATACCAAAATACAGTAAACAACATGGCACGGAAATTGAGATTAGAACACTGGAAAGAGAATACACAATTTACTGTGGGTGCACTCTCCCGGGAAATACCAGGCCCACCTTGGGGTGGGCTGGGACGTGTACGCCGGGCCACGCAGTGTTAACGATGGCTGTAAATTGGGAAGAGTGGAATAATACATACTCTAGATTCATTATGGCAAACATTATACACATTATTCATACCTTATTCAGCAAGCCCAAACCTAACTGGACCTTGAGCAGTTGAAAGATCAACAATAGTCCCTCTCTGTGTCACAAGAATCAGTCCTTCTTTCACCAGCTGAGTTCCAATCTTGCGAACTGCTGGCATTAAATCTCGCCAAGCCTTCGGTGAGAGAGCGCGTGCAACCTGTAAATTATCAAAGCAAAAATTCCTTTATTCCTCATGTTTTAAGATGGTAAATGTAATTACTGGACAGCATAATACAGTACATGTTTTGGATCCCATACTCTGTTATCTGAACAACATTTAGATAAGTATGCCATCACTGATCCATATAGTGAGCAGAAGCTTCACACACTTTACTGAATATACATACAATGTATATACGATACATCTATACAAACAGTGAACTTCACAGACATGGAAAAATCCTAATAAAGTTCCGATCTATAAAAATTTAAACGGAGAAGTTTGCTGAAATTACAGACCTGTATTATTGATAAGTATGGTATTAAAATCAATAGAAAACAATGAAAACAAATTTGGTAGAATACAAGAAAGAAACGACAGAATAATGGACATTATGGTTTTCATTCAGGAAGGTCTTCCAAAACCAATGTTCTGTACTTTTACAATATAGCCACAGAGATCTTGCAATAGAGGGTGGGGAAAACTGCAGCTACCTGGACCTAAAAAAGGACTGACAGTCCCACACAAGAGGCTGCTCTGGAAGCTAGAACACAAAGGAGTACAGACAGACTTGACTTGTGTGAAATTTTTTATAGAGGACAAACAAATGAGAGCAGTGATCACTAGTAGTGTGCCACTAGGTTAGTTCTTGCACCATTAATGTTAATTGTCTCTATAAGTGATCTATTAGAGAAGCTATAGAGTTATATAAATGTGTTTGCAGATAATGCCAAGTTACTAGGACAGATGACTAGTAAAGAACAGATGACTGACAAGTTCTACAAAATTATTTTCTCAAAATAAGTGAATGGGGGCAATATTGCCACATGGAATTCAATGTAAATAAATGCCATATAATGCAATGTGGAACAGGAGTAATCAGGCTACACACATCCTATAAATTCTGTGAAGAGATGCTAAGGAACTATGACAAAGAAACTGTGAAGAGATACTCAGGAACTAAGACAGAGAGAGATTTAGGGATTTACTATCCATGTTCTAGATAGTAAACTACCACCAGAGGATCACATCAAAGGTGTTGCAAGAGAAGCCTGTGCCATGTTAGCAAATTTCAGAATTTAAATACAGTACCTGTATATGGATGGAGAAATACTAGACACACTGTTCACAACAGTCATGAGACTAAAATTAGAATATGCAGTAGTTGTGTGTTGTCCATATCTCAAGAAGCACATCAATAAACTAAAAAAGTGCAACTGCATCCTACTACAGTACTGTATATAGTTTCTTGAACTAAAAAATTGATACGAGGAAAGAAAGAGGCATTAAATATTCCATAACCGGAAGATATAACGAAGAGGTGACATGAACACCACATACCAAATAGTGACAAGAATTGGCACAGTTGACAAGGAGGAATTTTTTAAACCTGCAGCTTTAAAAGCAAAGGTGCCAAAGAAACAAAGTTTTGCACAGAGTTTTAGAAGGTTAGAACAGTTGAAGTGAGTTGGTGGTGAATGTGAAATTCATCAACAATTTCAAAGCATCATGTGACTGATTATAGGGGAGTTGGAACACTACAAGTACAGTATAGCTCTAATCCTGTAACCACACTTAGGTAATTACACACACACATATAATGTGTAACTAACTCACCTCAGAGGGGCAAACTGTCTTCTTGAGGCCTCTGGCTCTAACAAGCTCAAGAATTTGTCCACGAATCAGTGCATCAAATCTTTCTGACAGTCGCTTATGTCTCTCTGTGAGCGACTCTTGATCTCTCTTTACTGCATAAGGGTTGGGTACTGTGGGTAATGGTACAGACACAGTAGGAGTGTGAGCAGGATTATTTGAATTGCAAGATGTGCTGAAAGAAGAATTTGTGTTATCTGAGGTAGTAGATGAGAAAGAAGAATTAGTGTTATCTGAAGTAGTAGATGAGAAGGCAGGACAAGTACTCCTGTTACTCAAGATATTGCTCCTGTAGGAATGAAGAGTATTATCAGTAGAACTGTTTGTGTAGATGATATTGCTGTCACCTGAGATAAGTGAACTTCCAACTGGAATGATATTGGAAACACCTATTGAATTAGGTCTGGAATTACTGCTGGGAACTGCAGTGTGATCTGTGATGGAAACAGATGTTTGGACAAAAGGTGGAGGTGAAGCCAGTACAATATTACATGCAGAAGTGTGTGATGTAGGTTGAGTGTAAGTAATGGTTCCTCCAAGCAGGCACTGGTCACTTCCTACAGATCCATGTTCTGCCTGCACAGCCACTGCAACTGCAGTGGGAACTGTTAGTGCCCCAACTGCTGACACACCAGAGGATGCACCTATCAGAGATCTTGCTGCTGATGCTGGTGTCAAGAGCTGAACTGTTGCCAACTGCTGTGCCTGAACCAGGTACTGTGGAAAAATAAATAATTTTGAGTAAATACTAACTTAAAGTGAGCAAAAAATTGTATAGCTAAATGCACCTAATAACACTCTACATCTCCATACTTCACGGTGCTAATTATTCTCATGGACCTCCCACAGTTCAAACCAACCTCACCCACAACACCTAAACTACCTGCTTTAATTAAAGAAAATATACCAACTCATATTTAACACTTTCACTGCAGCACCTTTATTTTGATTTCAATACTGTATTCCCATCTTGGGTTACAATGCACCTACAAAATAAATAGTAATATTACCAATAATTTATTAAATTTTTAGTAAGTTTTTAAATTTAATTTTTTTTTCCTATACAGTACATATATACAGTATATACTGTATACAAGAGTTCTTTGTTGTTCTTTAAACGAGAAAATCATTTAACAACCATGTACCCATTCATTTTGGGTGAACAGAGGCTACAGTTAAGGATTGATGCCCAGTCAATGCTTCCCGGCCAGGATATGAACCCAAGCCAAATCGCTCGAGGTGCGGGACAAGTGTGTTACCACTGCGCCACAGGGATTGCATGAACTGGAATTTAACTAAATTCCAGATCATGTTCCTAAGACATAAATAAATCTTCTCTCTAGGAACTGTATACAGTACATACCCTCTTAACATTGATAGCAGCAGCCTGGGCCCTCCCAACCCAGGCACCGGCAGCCTGGCCCTCCCAACCCAGGCACCAGCAGCCTGGGCCCTCCCAACTTTGGCATTAGCTGACCAGCTCTACCAGCCTGGACAGGAGCAGCCCCAAGCCCTACCAGCCTGGATAACAGCCATCTGGGTCTTTCTTACCCAGTCAAGAGCAATTCAAGCTTCTCTACCAGATCCACAACAATTCTATCTTCCTTACCTATTCAGAAATAATTAATATTTCCACACTAGGTATGGAATAACTCATACTTCCTTACCCATTCAGGAACAATTTGAACTTCCTTACCCGGTCAGGAACAAGGGATATTGGTGATGCAATTCTTTTCACTGTCTCCTCACCAACACATCTCTCCTGTTTCCTCTTCATTTAGGTGTCTTCTGCAAAATAATATAATTGCATTTTATACAAACCTACACAATTTAATATTAAGATTTACAGGAGCAATGACAAGAGTACAAAAACTATTTTATTTATCCTCGCTCACATCAAGCGTCCAGTGAACAGTGTTACAGAACCGAACTGTCATGTCATGTTTAAGCTGCTTGTTTTCCTGTAGCCAGGCCCAGCTTACTTGTAAATACTATATACATGAGTATATAGTATTTACAATATATATAGTATATAGTATATACATAGAGTATAGTACAGGTATTTGTGTGTCATCACGTGCACATTTGTAGGTGTTTAAATTGTTATAAATACAGTAGGATACTTCAATATTGAGGTTGGGGGTGAACGAGTTTTTTTTAAGTTCTAGGGAAATTTACAATAAACTCCAGATATCCTAGATTTGGTTGAATCAAGTTTCCTGACCAATCAGAGAATCTATAGAAAATTGTCCAATCAGAGCACAGCAGCTAAATGATTTTGCAAATTTGGAGTGAGCCACCTACCACGGAGCAAGTTACTTTAGTGGGAGAGCTAAAGTGGCACATGACACGAGTCCCAGATGACACAGGAGCCCCCAGATAATACATGACACAAGAACCCCTGGTAATACGTGACACAGGAGCCCCATGTCATATTTGACACAGGAGCCCCATGTCATACGTGACACAGGAGTCATATGTGATACATAACACAAGAGCCACATGTGATATGTGACACATGTAGAGTGGCCAGAGCCACCTACCTGGACCACAGAAGGCAGACACCGAGGCTGTGGCTCGTCACTGTTTACATTCGTCAGCTCTGACTCTCGCCCAGCCGCATTCCTCAGCCAACTCTGCTCCAGCGACCACTGTGACAGCCAACACTGCTCCAGCGACCACTGTGACAGCCAACACTGCTCCAGCGACCACTGTGACAGCCAGCACTGCTCCAGCGACCACTGTGACAGCCAACACTGCTCCAGCGACCACTGTGACAGCCCACACTGCTCCAGCGACCACTGTGACAGCCCACACTGCTCCAGCGACCACTGTGACAGCCCACACTGCTCCAGCGACCACTGTGACAGCCAACACTGCTCCAGCGACCACTGTGACAGCCCACACTGCTCCAGCGACCACTGTGAGAGCCCACACTGCTCCAGCGACCACTGTGACAGCCCACACTGCTCCAGCGACCACTGTGACAGCCCACACTGCTCCAGCGACCACTGTGACAGCCCACACTGCTCCAGCGACCACTGTGACAGCCCACACTGCTCCAGCGACCACTGTGACAGCCAACACTGCTCCAGCGACCATATATCGGGTGGCCAGAACCGTGTTCGAACTAAAAAATCCCCGCGCCTGAATATCAGCCCAAGTCATGTTGCCAAACACGGCAGCCAACGCAGTAAACTTCCTAATGTCATGGGCACGAAAATAAACCGCAGGCTGGCTAGACTTAACCCTGCGGACAACCTGGGAGACCTGAGCCCTGGAACAGGGAATGAGGGGAAACCCGGATCAACCCAAAGCCCATCCCCAGCCACAGAAGCCGAAGCGCACAGGTAACGGCGAAGAGCCTCAACCAGACACAAGACTTGATGCAACCCCGGCCTGACCAACCAAGCATCAATTACCCAAGGACCCCTCCAGAAAGCAGCCGTCTCATTCTTCGCCAGAAAAACAACAACCATCCATTCCGTGAACAGAGGAATGAACCAAGACAGGCTGTCCACCAGGACGTTGGACACTCCCTGGATACGAACCGCACGGAGAACTAAACCCTGAGAATCCAGCAGACGAGTCACCTGAAGCGACTAGCCCCAAAGAGCCAAGGACCGAAGAGAACACCTGCGTTTCAAACAAGGAACAACCGGAGCGCAGTCCGAATAAAGCCGGATCGAAGAGCCCCGAGTGACCAGAACCCTCCGCAGTAAAAGCCAAACTGCCTCAAACTTCCACACTGTGCTGTGGACCCAATGGAGGGATGGAGCCCATCGCTCCTGCCCGGCCTGGTGAGCGCTGGTCACAAAGACCCAGCCGAGAGATGAGGCATCTATGAACATGTAACGATTCTATTGTTACGTGAAGTATGGTGACATCTCATCCAACCCCCACCAAGCTAACAGGCCCAGAACACAACCAAACTCCATTCCTAGCTCGACCAAACAAAAATCTCCTTAGCCCTACCTAAAACCCTCCACTTGCCCTGACACCAACTTTTGAGCCACAGCAAACAATTGAACTACATACAAAAAAAAGAAACCTCGGTTTCTAGCAAACAATTAAACAGAGCCTTAGCAAACAAACCTGGAGCACTAGTACACAAACAACCACTGAAGCACAACCATGCACGAACCGAAGCCTGATCATGCACAACCCATAGCCCAAGTGACACCCCCGGAGCCCGACCAGTTATTTAACCGGAGCCCGACCTGTTATTTAACCGGAGCCCGACCAGTTATTTAACCGGAGCCCGACCAGTTGTGTAACCGAAGCTTGATCAGTTGTGTAACCAGACCCCGACCAGTTGTGCAACCATAAGCCTAGCAAGTATACATCTCATCCAACCCCCACCAAGCTAAACAGTCGCAAAGCACAACCAAACTCCATTCGTAGCTCGACCAAACAAAAATCTCTTTAGCCCTACCTAAAACCCTCCACTTGCCCTAGAAACCAACTATGGAGCCTTAGCAAACAATTGAACTATATAAAAAAACGAATTTCTAGCAAACATATAAACATAGAGCCCTAGCAAACAAACCTGGAGCAATAGTACACAAACAACCGCTGGAGCACAACCATGCACGAACCGAAGCCTGACCATGCACAACCCATAGCCCAAGTGACACCCCCGGAGCCCGACCAGTTATTTAACCGGAGCCCGACCAGTTATTTAACCGGAGCCCGACCAGTTATTTAACCGGAGCCCGACCAGTTATTTAACCGGAGCCCGACCAGTTGTGTAACCGAAGCTCGACCAGTTGTGTAACCAGACCCCGACCAGTTGTGCAACCGTAAGCCTAGCAAATATACATCTCATCCAAACCCCACAAAGCTAAACAGTCCCAGAACTCAACCAAACTCCATTCCTAGCTCGACCAAACAAAAATCTCCTTAGCCCTACCTAAAACCCTCCACTTGCCCTAGACACCAACTTTTGAGCCATAGCAAACAATTGAACTATATACAAAAAAAGAAACCCGGATTTCTAGCAAACATGTAAACATAGAGCCTTAGCAAACAAACCTGGAGCACTAGTACACAAACAACCACTGAAGCACAACCATTCACGAACCGGAGCCTGACCATGCACAACCCATAGCCCAAGTGACACCCCCGGAGCCCGACCAGTTATTTAACCGGAGCCCGACCAGTTATTTAACCGGAGCCTGACCAGTTGTGTAACCGAAGCTCGACCAGTTGTGTAACCAGACCCCGACCAGTTGTGCAACCGTAAGCCTAGCAAATATACATCTCATCCAAATATACATCTCATCCAACCCCCACAAAGCTAAACAGTCCCAGAACTCAACTAAACTCCATTCCTAGCTCGACCAAACAAAAAACTCCTTAGCCCTACCTAAAACCCTCCACTTGCCCTAGACACCAACCTTGTAATAGAGATGGTAATCTTGGGCATAGCATGCTAAAATGCTATGCCCAAGATTACCATCCGAGTTGCCGGCGGGGAAGTGGTTCAAATAGCTTCGGCTACCACTTCCTTTTGTCTGGCCGTGATGGTCAAGTGGATTAAGGCGCCCTGTAGTTACCAGTTGTGTTGCTCCTGGGAGTATGGGTTCGAGTCACTTCTGGGGTGTGAGTTTTCAGTCGCATATAGTCCTGGGGACCATTCAGGCTTGTTCGCATTTGTATTCCTCACGTGTGCCCCAAAGAATGAGGTGATTTGGTGAAATGCTATGCCCAAGATTACCATCCGAGTTGCCGGCGGGGAAGTGGTTCAAATAGCTTCGGCTACCACTTCCTTTTGTCCGGCCGTGATGGTCAAGCGGATTAAGGCGCCCTGTAGTTACCAGTTGCGTTGCTCCTGGGAGTATGGGTTCGAGTCACTTCTGGGGTGTGAGTTTTCAGTCGCATATAGTCCTGGGGACCATTCAGGCTTGTTCGCATATTATATATATATATATATATATATATATATATATATATATATATATATATATATATATATATATATATATATATATATATATATATATATATATATATATATATATATATATATATATATATATACATGTATATATATATGTATATATATATAATATAAAAAAGGGTCCCTGTAGTACAGTCGGGGTAGTTCTCGACGCACAATAGAGTATTTCGGGTTAGAATCCCGGGCGGGACAGATATAGTTGGGGGGGGGGGTACATTTCCTTTCACCTAATGCCTCTGTTCACCTAGAGTAGGTACCCAGGAGTTAGTCAGCTTGTTGTCGGGTTGGATCCTAGGCAGGGTCAGTAATTCGGCCTAGGGGTGGGGGGGGACCTCGATAAAAGCCAAAACGTGTATGAATACACTCTGGCTTTCTGTCCCCCGACACTGAATTATATATCCTGATCACATCACGTGTCCATCGCCACTCATACGATGAATTAAACTCATATTTAATAATAATAATGAATAATAATATCGTGGCCAGTTGGCAGTACCGAAGATGCACGGGCTTAACTGCCAATACTGTAATTAAATGTGGACAAAACCTGACACAACAAAAATAAAAAAAAATCTTGTAATTATTTTGTATACAATACCTAATAATATGTAACGTGATATTTACTTACTATTTACACACATAGTATTTTGTATTATTTTATAATTAATGAATGAGGAGAGGAAGGGGGCGTGGCTAAGCGTGAAGCCGGCAACCCAACAGTCGGCATCGAGCCTCCGCGGTGGATAGTCGGTGCTCCGCTGTGTATAGGAATATGAAGGTTGCTCTAGTACTGTGTCTGGTGGGGGTGTGTTGCTGCCAGAGGCCTCCATTACCGCCTCCGTCGCTGCCTCCACCTCCTTCGCTGCTGCCTCCTCCATCGCTACCTCCACCCCCGCAGCGGGTTGCACCGCCGTGTCCCCAGGACCTGCAGTGTGTCCCGCCGGTGGTCTGTTCCGTTGTCGGTGAGGACTTTCGTTTTTTTTCATCAAATATTTCAAAATGGCATGTTTGTTAACTTCCAGGCAATCGTGTATTTGATCATTTGAAGGCTCTTAAAGTTTTCTTAAGCTCGTGCTGTTGGACACCAAGACTTGTACTGTAATTGTATAAGGGCTCTCACTTCGGCCCTTGGCTGAAGTCGGTCATTACTTCTAGATTATAACTTTCCTATTATTGCATAGGACATGGCCATTCTTGCCCCATGGGATAAAGGTATTGAATGTAGTATTTCCTAGTGAATATACAACCCAACACATGGAATGTCCCTCGTTCTTGTGGCCTCGTGTTAATACACGACTATCTCGAAGATGAGGCCAATGAATGCCGATCAAAACGCATTCAAATCTTTTTTATTGGGCTGTCACTAACTTGAAATTAGTCATAAAGTACCCTAAAAGTTAAAATTCTTTGCATATTATAATCTCTATCATTATAAGGTCCTAGGTCATAATTCTTCCATGGTGTTACCTGCTGGTAGACTAGACAATAATGGGTACACCTTGCTACACATCTAGAAGTGGCACTGCCAACTTCACGTGGGTTGACATCAGGGGTGCAGTGCCAATTTATAGGTGCTGGAGCTCGGGTAGGTCTGACAAAAGCTTGTTTCCTATACCATTTCTGTAAATGTCAAACGATTAAGTACTCTTTTGTACTCTATAATTATAATAACTATTACTAAACAAAAAATCAAATGTATTTTATAAATTTAAGTTAAAACGCCTGCTCACAAAATACAACCAGGGAGAAGTTTCACAACAATTTCCACAAAGGTTCGGGGGTGTGAAGCGCACTTGTCCTGGTGTCATCTGCTGACCTGTGATACTGCAGCCATATGGCATATGGCTGGGGATTCTCCTGAACTAGAGGTCAATATAGTTTAACAAACGTGGTGACGCACAATTCTTGTTATCGGGTTCATGTGGCAGTCCTTTACTACTCGGCAGTAGTAGTAGGAATAACTTGTAAACACCTTGGTAATGGGTGTCAATCTTGGTGAATGCAACATCCATGATCCTCCACCCGGTGTCCAAAGGCATTTAGTGGAGAGTAAGAAAAAAGCTTTAAACCTCTTAAGATATTTTGGCTTCTCTGTAGTAATTGGGTGGCATTTTATCAGGCCAGTACTTTTTTTACAACTAGAGTACTAGAGATTGAGAAATATATAGTGAAATACACGGGCCACCACTATTAAAGTTCAAGTATGTTTAGAGACAAGAAAAACGAATCTAGAGATGCTTAGGCTTTCTCCCCCCCCATCCCCCCTCCACTCTACTAATGCCACTGAAACATGGAAGCAATTGCCAACTGTTTTTCACATGAAGCTAGAAGCACCATCAAAATTTTTTTTAAAGTTGTGTAGTAGTTTTGTTGTTTTACCTGCCTAGTATTCAATATTAAAATATAATCTTATGAATAAAGAATACCTGTATTATGAACCACTGTTTAAGCCATGCACTGAATATTTGTATCCGAAGTGGTGAGTTGGCAACTTTCTCGTTGCTTCTTGCATAAATAGACAAGAAGCGTTCATATGATTTGGGTCTTGTTTAGATTCGTACCGGTTTTTAAATGTACTGTATAAAATTTAAATATTTAAAAAAATCAATGCTATTAACTTGTTAGTGAGGTAATCCTAATATTTTCCTGCCACAATCAATCGTCCACAAGCCCTCTCCCTTTTTCCTCTTTTCCCCCATTCCATCATCCACTTGCAGAGGTGCCAGAGCAGTCCTCGGGCAGCAATGTCATCGGTTGCAGTATGGCACAGCCCAAAACTTGTCAAAAGTTTTGAGCAACAATGCACAGTTCAGATATATAAACCTTGAGTAACCAATTTGCACCGGGATGTTCCAACTGCTAGATTGTCTGCCTGCTCAACCTGGATTTAGGCAGGAAGCTAGTTGCAGTTCACAAAACTTTAGTGTATGTGCTAGCATGAGTAAAGTTCAAATGGTGGTGGTTTTAATGAGGAAGAAAGGCTCATAGACTTGTATTGACAAAACGACTCTACAGTATTTATTGGTTGCTTAATTCTATGCATGTGGTTGGTTTGCTTTTAAGTAGTCTTGTAAAAGTAATTGAGCTTGTACCAGTCAAACTGATCGCTACTTGCCTTTATGGAAAATCTGATTTATTCTGAATTGACTTCACAACACTGTTCCCAACACAACTGCAATTACAAAGGTGTTTTAAGATCGGTAAATAGGGATGGTTGTGCATACATTTTTGACAAGTGATGCCCTGACTTTTTCTAGACAGATTTGGGTTCCAATGAATTCTGTAAATTTATCTTTGGGAATATTGCATAAAAATGTGTTAAATGTTCTTGCTTAAACTTCATATCCCAAAAGTTTGAACTGGCTTATGCAATCACTAAACTTTTAAGTTGACATTTAAAAAAAAAAAAAAAAAAAAAAAAAAAAAAAAAAAAATGGGAATTGGCTCATTTTTTGCTGGTATACATACCAAACATCCTGAACTAATATGGGGAGTATGTGCTGTAAAAATGCAAACTACATACACAGTACTGTATATTGGAAAGTTTCTTCCTTATTGCATCCTCGGCCAGGAGGATGAAGAATGTATATCAGTTAGAGGTTAAAATGTAATTTAATTAGGTCTTGTGTAACCATTGGTTCCGGTTTAAAGTTTACTGTAGTGATTGTATTCAGAGTAAATGGCCATTGTATTAAAGCAATATTATAAATAAATCACTCCATCCTGACCTCAAATTTTTCAGGATTGAGAGCCCGGGAACCCTTCACTTGTGGCACAGGTGGTTACGAGGGATTTGTTTGTTGTCTACAGCGTGACATAAGGCATGGGGCTGAACATCGCAGTGACCACAGGTACAATATAGAATTTTATCAGTACAGTACTTTGTTCCCTGTAATTATTTGGAGTAATAAGGTGGTCTGTCTAATCACTTGCTGCCACATACTAAAGTGTTTGACTTCATAAAATATTTAAAATGGTAATTTGATCTTGTAGAATGTACCTTGAGGAAAGAACCTTGATAACCTTCAGGAAATTTAAGTGCTAAAGGTGCTTCTACCAGTGATGGTACCTACAGCCTCTGCCCCATTACCTATAAGTATCTTTGTAAAGATGAAAGATGGTTTACAGGTTAAATTTACCAGTTAGGCTGCCCAGTTGTATAATAACCTTTTATAGTTTGTGCTATACCATATGATCTTTGCTGATTGTTAATTCTTGTACGAGCTAGTTATTTCGGTGGCATAAAATAGCCAGTGCATTAAGTTACCTTGTGGGAGGGGAAGATGCTCAGAGCAGATAAAGCTTGTGGCAACAGCTTGGAAGTAACAAGTCCCACCACTTACTTTAAATGCTATGCATACCATTAATTGGCAACATCAGTAACACAAATTTGCCCTATAATTGGGCAATACAATACAGTATTAGACTTTGTCCACATTTGTCCATTTTTAACTGCACAAATGTTAATGTTCAATTACTAAACTTGGCTTAATTTTCTGTAACACATTGATGATAAATTTAGGAAGTACACTGTACATGCCAGTCTCTCAAATCTATAAAATTTGTCTAGATAAATCTATTCTTAATTTAAACCAGAAAAGTGATAATGCTACAAATTTTTATAAATTTCTGCTAGCCAGTCTGTAATGCCACAGCTTTGACATACTGTACTTTGTTTTTAGTACTTTAGGAAGATAATGATCATCTTGTACTAAACCACTGGGTTTTTGTCTGGTATTGTGACGTGGGTAGCTGACAATGACATTATGAAACTTTTTGATATAGTCATTATCATTCCTGCTACTCATCCAGGACCAGTGCTAATGCTCCTAGTAAAGACTACATCATGTCAGTATGATAGTTTCAGAACTTTTATACTGTAATTTCTAGATTCTTCAATGTTCATATTTTATAAATACCTGAATCAAATATTATAAACTTTAGTGCAATGTTTGACATTTGAATGCATTTACATGGCTGAATAATGCTTGGGTTAAATTTTAATGTTAATTTATTTAAAGTACTAAGCGTTTTCCCCTCGGCAGCAAGACGGGTCTCTGCCTTGTGAACATGGAATGTAACTTTATAGCCTTAATTTTCTATTTTACAAAATTAACATTCCAGATTTAAGTTGCCCCACCCATACATGGACTTCTATGATGATGAGTATGATAGACTTTACAGTGGCCGCTTGTCAAAGCAAGCAAAGGAAGTGCTGCGAAATTATAGATACAAGGATGTAAGTAAGAGTACTAATATTTTGGCTATTAATGCTGAACAGACATGTTGAAGGCACTTGATCCTTTTAATTAGCCAGGGAAAATTTCATGAATGTTAATGAAGATCTTGACTTTTGAATAGTGTGAAATGTATTACCTGCATGGTTACTGTACATGGAAAGAATGCAGGTAGTGATTTAAAGTTTAACGTAACATAAATGTTAAGATAAAATAAACTAAGCTGGAAAACCATCTACTTTCTAGCTGTTGGGTAGTTTACATTTGGCTTTTACTTTTCATAAGTGGCTGCTGAGCTTGTACCGTTAGTTTTTAGGAATCGTAATGCCTTGATTGTTAAAATGGCAAAACACTTAAAACTAGCCTTTTAAGTCATTCTATTACAGGAATGTGGAGTCAGGAATAGATCTCCAGAGCATTTAACTCGTGTATCTTCTGGTTATCTTGACGATACAGTAATCACAAGTTTTGGGGAGTTCCCATGGCATGTAAGTACAGGTGATGTTTTAACATTTTTACCAATCCCCTTTTTTACCATGGACCCTGTATGTTTGGCATCATGGTATCTTGCAATTATTTGTTTAACAATGTTTGCAGTGTGGTTTTTCTGTTAAAGTATTTGAAGAGATTCTGCATTATTTAAAGTGAAGTTTGCAGTACAGGTACAGTATACTGGTACCTGACAAACCTTTTGTTGGGCTAAACTTAATTTATAAAAATGTTTACCACTGATCTGAATCTAGAGGTAAAGGCACTGTACATTGCTGTTTTAAAGAATTATGAATTTGATGCTTGGTGTATCCTGTACAATAATATTGGGTGATTAATATTTAACTACCCAATTAATTGGGAAAGCACAAAGCCAGTATGACTATTTAGTGTTACTCCTTTAATAGTCTTTAGCTGCTTTTGGAGCACAATTTAATGTATGGAAAATGTGGGTCATGCTTGGATTTAATTAAAGTAACTTGCAAAGAGAATTTGTTAAATATACCCAATTTTGACACTTCCTACTAACAGTTGACTTGAAAGAATCTTCTCGGGCTGTTAACTTCCCCATTTTTTCAGGTTGCCCTGCTGATAATAGAAAGAAATTTCAACATTGGGTTTAAAATCTCCCAAGAAACCTTGAGGTACCATTGTGGAGCAACCCTTATTAATCCTCTGATGCTTCTCACTGCTGCACACTGTGTTAAAGGTGAGAGCATTAAAAATGTTACAGGGAACAACATTTGGACAAACTTTCACTACTAGACTTGCTGGAGTGAATGCTAAAAATTTGTACAAAATTGGCAAAATGGCCCTGCTTAACCCTTGCATTGCAGAAGTTTTAGAAATTATCAGTATGCACTGACAAAAGGCATTAGCGAAGTCTTGTATTAAAAACACACTGGACATGGTAATGTCTCAAATCGGTTACTCTTCAAGGTGGCAAATTTCAATGGAATGAATAAATGTTGGGACAGGCAGCTAATGTGTATATATAGTTATGCTTATATTGAGGACTGCTTCCCCAGGGTCAAAGTACTAATCCTCTCAAAAATGTAACTCTACAAAAGGCTAACTCCTGAGCACCTATTTGCACCTAGGTGAATAGAGGAATAACTTTATTTGCTCATGGTGTGGTGTAATGACTTCTAAGAGCATTTTAAGGAAAGTTCAGAATAACAAGGTCTGTACATAAATGTGGCAGTGAGGAATGAAGTTGGCATTAGTGTAACGTTTCTCTTAACTTCTCTAATTGCCCTACCTGAATTGTTAGCACTGGATAAGCCATTTTAAATATTTGGCCCACCTGAAAACTAGAAGTTAATGTTGAGACATTAAGTGAACTGCTCTAGTTATTTTACTAAAATTTGAGGTGGTTGAATATTTGAGGGTAAGAGGGGAGGGAGACTGATAAAACAGCACCCAAACCTTATTAAATGGTAGTAGATTGCTAAATTAGCATGCAGGGATTTGTGAAATAAAGCCTTACTGTACAGAGGACTACTTGCGAGGATCCTGCATCCATTACTTAAATAATTGGAGAAATGGTAACACAACTGGCACAAGTTGCTTGGGTTAGCTTATTGGGTCTGCCAGATGTTGATGGGGGTAACTAAAAGAAAAGAAATATTCGGCATTCTTAATTATAACAATTCATTGTTGGAACAGGCAGCCAGTGCACAGTATTCATAAATATTAGGCTTTTATCTTAATGTTGCTTAAGTGTTGGTATGTTCATAACTTTTTTTTTTAAGCAGAGAGATCCCTTTTAGACAGTTTGACTCTTGCCAGAGCAGGAATACTCCCTAACTAGCAAAGTCTATATATTTTCAGATTTTAAAATATCTGGAAACCTGATTTTTTTTTTTTTTTTTTTCAGGGATCAGACCAGAGAGGTTGAAAGCTAGCCTAGGCGACTGGAATCTTTACAGCACTACAGGAGAGTTGTTCCCAGCTGTGGAAAGGCGGATCTCCAGGGTCTTCATTCATACTGGGCAAGTTGAGGCATTTTGTATTTCCCCCCCCCCCCCCTCCTGCAACTGAAGCTAGAATATAAAAATTTGGTAACTCTTAATGTAGAGTTTAAACTCATTTGAACTTTTCCCTTAGGTACAACCCTACTACCTACTTAAATGACATAGCCCTGCTGCAGATGGAGAGGCCTGTGGACATTTTAAGAACTCCCCACATCTCTCCAGCTTGTCTACCTGACGACACCTTCACATTTGATAATCATCTAAATTGCTTTATTGTTGGTTGGGGTGATGATGTTTACAAGGTTTGTTTAGAATAATTTGGACATGGTGCCAAACCCTGAGTACTATTGAGCTAAACTTCTCTTAAAGTACATAAACTAGTTTCCAGATAATTTTAAATTTCCCTGCTTTATTTTCAGAATCTTTTAAATGTGCCATTCACATCTTCAAATACTAGCAAAGATGTGAAATCTGCACTTGTTAAAATCAGAATAAAAGTACAGTATCCATCTATCCCATAGAATTTAAAGTTCAAATTTGGCCTCGTCCCAGATAACTTCCTAGTGTTTTGAACAACCCTTGAGAGGTATTTTAAATCTATAGTACTTCAGTTACCTACATTAATGTAAACTTTTTGTGTTAATAATAATTGCATTCCTTGTAAAAGATCTAACTAGGCTTATTGAGGTCCCTCTAGACAAACTGGTATGCTCCCCCTCCCTTTTTCCTGCCACATTAACATGTAAATTTCCAAATTATGGATTTCTATGATGTAGGTACTGCAGTCCCTAATCTTTTTGCCAAACCTATACAGTATTGTGAATCAGACTGAAGTTTAGTTATTTTTTTTCTTTATTTCCCAGATTGGTCTTGGTAATATTAGCGCCCTCTGATTATTTCACTTTAATGGTGCTACATAGCCTTCCCGGTTTGGTGCCTTCTTTTGATAATTACCTTGCCTTCCCAGATTGGTCTTGACTACGAATATTTTGAGTTTATCCATGATGTTGACAAACTTTAAGAGTCTGGCCGTTTCCTGCCAAACTTACACTTTGGGGGGAGGGGGTCTATATATTAAAATAAGTTTAGGTTGCTGGTGCAGTTTAATAATGAAATTGGTTTTAATAGTATCTAGATTACTAATCTTTTCTTCTAAACAGCCTAATTTTGGAAGCAATGTGTTGAAAGCCACTCTAGTGACTTATACAGCTGATGAAGAGTGCAAACGTAGACTGTATAAAACACTCCATAAAGTGGATGACAAGTTTGTGCTGGACATTGATAATCAGAAGTGCATCATAGGAGGCTATGGACGTGATGCTTGTGTTGTAAGTATTTTGACATTCCTAAGTGTAATGTTTATCTTTAACCATTTTAAAATCCTTTTAAAGCAATATATTAGAATCCCCTAAATAACAAGATTGTTAAATTGTGTAATAACTTGACATGACTTATATAACTGGCCAACATTGCAGGGTGATGGTGGTGGTGCTGTAGTCTGCCCGTTGAATAACAAAGCTGGTCCTAGTGCATGTCGTGACAAGAATTGTGCCCATGAACACTATTTTATTAGTGGAATTATATCATTTGGCTCTCCAGTCTGTGGTGAAGGTTCGATTACTGTAATTGCAGACATAACAAATCATATAGACTGGATATACACGATAATACGTCCTGCTGGAGGCTCGAGGGGCTTTGCTCCTGATAAACACAGAGGACGTGCGGCGGATGGAAGTGCACAACTGGACAAAAATGCTGCCAATAGTACAGCTTCTACATAACTAAGAGCCAGAATTGATATAAATTATCCCATTTCAGTATATACTTTGCACTGTAATGTGCAAAATGAAGGTGGATGACTAAACTAATTTAATATAAAATTAAATAATTAACATAATGGCTATTGATCTTTTATTAAAGGCGGGGGGGGGGGGGGGGGAAGTACAAGAACTCTAGCAGCATGTCTAATTACATTGGTTACAACTCTACCTGTATCCTAAAACTTGTACAAAAAGTCCTGACTAATGTCCAACTAGCAGAGATGTCTAGTTATTATAGCCTAAATAAACTGAAATCTCTCTAAACTACCCTCTTTGTTAAACCTGCAAAATCTATATTTGAATTATAAAATTCATTGGTTAATACTAATCTTGTACCAGTACATAACTGACAAATACCATGTTACTTTCCCAAACATCTTGATGTTGCTTAAAAGTATGTTGGAAAGTAGTAACATACAGGTAATTTGCAATTGAAAATGGGCCATATCCTACCCGCCATTGATAAAAATCTATAACATACTTTAGACTTCAGTGTGGGGATGTTTGGGGATAAGGGTAAAACTGAAGGTTGTGGTGGTTCTTTAATAAATTGGTTCAGAGCTACCTTGTCCAGTTACACTGGGTCAAGTGGGGGAGGGGGGGGGGGGTTGATATTACTCGGTCCCCCAGGCTACTATTCAGACCTTTCAGTATAGTTACCACTGAGGTTGCCCATGTGCCTCTTGTTTAACTTTTTTTCCCTGCACTCCCACCCACTGCAGTCAAATTGTTTATATATAATTCTAGGCAGTCCTTACTAGTAATATGGGCCACTAGGCCCCCAACTCTGACTGCTAGGGATATTAAAGCTCCATAGATTTGGTTACGATGGAGCCCACACCCAGTTAAGTCCTATTTACCCTACTGGACAACCCCCCCCCCACATCCTATGCAGGAGACGCCCTGGCTTTGCTTTCTTTTGGTAATTGCTTGGCAAGGTCAACCTCAGTCTAGTGTCAATTACTTTTCACCTTAAATGACTTTGGGACTACTCCAGGGCCCTGCTTGGCAATGATTCGAATACTTCCTGGATTATAAGTTTACCGTCAGTGTTCGAAAGTAATTGTTTAAAAGGTACCAAGCTGGGAAGGCTATGTAGCGCCATCAAGTGTGCAGGATAATCGGAGGGCGCTAAATATTACTGTAGATGCCAATGAGAACAAATGCACAAGGTGAATGATTTCAAAAGTATCTGGTTCACCTAGAATTCTATAGGGACACGTGACTGCAGGGGACGGTCGGAAAGCAAGACAAATGCTCGTCCTGGAAGTCGGGACATTAAACAAGGATATGCACAACTGTAAGAGGAACAATGCAGTTAGTACAATAAGGAGCAGGACATCGCTCCATTGAGTGTCCGTGAGTTTAGCATGTATGGCCAATACGCGTCGTTGCCAGAGCCATTTTCCACCGCCGGTTACAGTGGCAGGAGGAAGGCCATGGGGACACATTTGAGAGTGCGCAGTTTGTTACCAAATTACAGAAGACCAACAACCCTGCCAACGGGTAAGGATAGAGGAATGAATAACCGAATAAGTCGGAAAAAGGAATGCCCATTTCCCGTAAAGGTATTCATTTTTCCGACTTATCTGGTTATTCGTTCCTCCATCCTTGCCCGTTGGCAGGGTTGTTGTACTGTTGTTGGTAACAAACTGCGAATTCTTAAGCGTTGTCCCCCCCGTGGCCTTCCTCTTGCCACTGTAACCGGCGGTGGGAAAGGGCTCTAGCGCAGTTGCATCTTGGCCATAACTCACGGTCACTTAATGGAGCGCTGCCCAGCTCCTTATTGTCCAAATTGCGTTGTCCCTCTTACCGTCGTGCATATCCTTGTCGAATGTCCCGACTTCAAAGACGAGTGTCTTGCTTTCCGACCGCCCCTTGTGGTCACCTGTCCCTCGATACAATTCTCGGTGACTCGGATACTTTTGATATCGTTCGCCTTATGCGTTTGTTCTCGTATTGGCATCCTTGGTGATATTTAGCACCCTCTAATTATTCCGCACATTTGATGGTGCTACATACCCTTCCCGGTTTGGTGCCTTCTTTTTGATAATTACTTATGATTTTTCAGTTTAATTACACACTACTGCACAATTTAAGAAATTCCTATACTAAATGTGCAGAACCTCAATACTGTACATACAAATGCCTTTCTCACTAATATGCATACAATATTATATTTTTCAGACAATAAAACACTATCACACTGTATATACTGTAATTATATATAACTATGAACATGTTTATGCACTGTTGACATTGTTTATATTTCATAATTAAATGTGAGCATGAGCTGCTGCTGTATGCACAACTCCTGTTTGCTCTTGGTACTGAAGCAACCTCACACCCAGGAAGGAGTGGCCATGATCCATCCTTTCCCTCAAGATGGAACCTGTTTAACAGAGGCCTAAGGAAGCAGGTGTTAACCCATGTACTTGCGGGAACTTCAAATTTTATGTAGTACTAACCCTTAACTATTAACATATGTGTAGCCCAACATTTTTACATGCCATTACTTGTTCTAACATCTTGTTACTTTTTTCTATTGCTTTTTGTAGTACAGTACTGTAATATTAATTGTCCTTTGAGAAATTGATATAAAAACAAGTGTGGAACATTAAAATCCTCAAATATAATAGTTTCACAAAGATGTGCACTATATTTGCTTACAACAATAAAATATTGTTTTTGGTATTACACTGTGTACTTTCATGCACTAAACCGTTCTGGTGGATGTGGTAACGAAATCCAAGGATAGCATAATGCCCCTACACAATACTGTACTGGCAAATGAGACAAAATGCATTATAACAGTAATATGCATAATATAATTCTTTGCACACTGTTGCTATTATCAGCACCCTGATGATGATAGTGTGTAATTTGATCAATTTATATAAAATGTGTAGAACCTTGCTATATTGAAAAATACTGTATGCACCCACTTATCCAAATTCTCCTAAACCAAATACAGTATTTGGGTTATCTGGCCAAAATTACATCAGATAATTTTCTGCCAAACTTTGTCATAATCGGAGACGTTACATAAATTTTCAAGATTTACAGTATCAAATAAGAAGCGACTAAAATTTAAGCTGAAGTTTCTTTTAAATTTTATTCTTTATTTATAGGGTGTGGGGGGGGGAAATTTTAATTGTTGGCTGTAGTATAAAAAATTAGGAATACTATGTGGTCATTTTAGGACTTACCCCGTAAGAATTTTGCTTATCCAGCGAGGGCTCCTTGCCGTATAGTCCAGATAAATGAGCTTAGACAAGATTGATTATACTTGGCAAAAGCATAGTTTTCTTGTTTTGTTATTACACTGCATATACACTTTATATAAAACTACCTCCATTTTTGTGCACTATAACAAACCACTAAGCTAGTCTGACGGACCCCATACAGCAGGGCATCAACACGCTAATCGGCTGATGTGACGCCACCTGACTTGACATGATGCCTCCAATATAACACACCTATCGCTGACTCGAGGCACAATTTTGTTATCTGCATTCTGATCCTGAATCTGACCACATTCTGACAACTAAATCCTGAATATGATCATTTTTCTCATTAATTTTCTATTGGACCGTGAGGTTGTTTTGATAAATGCATCAAACATTGGCAGTGCTATGGTTGTATTTGTCATGCTGTGACGATCATAAATTGCATTGTGGACAACACTTGGGTCATAGTCCTAAGGGCCTGGGTTTGATTCATGACCAAGGCAGAAACAAATGGGCAGATTTTCACCTGATACCCCTATTCACCTAGCAGCTGTAATGCCCAGGTACCTATTTACTGCTATGGGCTGCATGCTGGGGATGTGTGTGTGGGGGGGGGGGGGGGGGGTTTAGAGAGAAATAGGGTACACCTGCATGCACAACCCTTGGTTGCTCCAAGTATTACTGGCTTCACACCCAGAAATGGTTTCCCAATTTTGTCAAACTGGTGTCTTTCCTAAAGGTCTAAGAAAGCTGATGTGAGCCCCATGTACCTACAGGACATAAATCTTATACAGCATGGTCTAAAGTATTCCTGTATGACTTGAACAGTGTGGCCAGAAGCATCCCTAATGTGACTCTCTGAAAGGGTTACTACATCCCTGGATGTGACAAGCATTTGAAGGTTAACCCTTCAACTGAGTGACACAACCAGGGATGCTCCCACCATTTATCCATAAACTGATACAATCGGGGATATTTTAAATTACCGCATAAGATTTAAAACTCCCGTCAATACATGAACTCGCATCTGCTTCATCGGGCATCCAATAAATTGGTTAAAAGGTCACATACAGGAATAATGGAATGTACTAAGAATATGGCATTAGGGGGGAGAGTTGTTGGCACCTATTAGGGTACTCGGCATGTTTCATAGTTATATGCAAGTGCTGTACGTAATTACCATTACTTGAGTATTGTTGCATTACATTTGGAAAATGTAATAATCTTGTTTACTATACACATTGATGACTAATATTTAAGACAATTTTTGGTATCTTAGACAAATACTTTTCATATAAAAAGTTTTCTTAAAGAAATACAAACAAATATTTTAATAATTTATCGTTAAAACTAATTATGAAGAAAAACCTAATTACTCTGATTTTAATCTTGTGTTGTGATGCAGGTTCCCAGTAAGCGCAGCTCCCACTCCAGCAGACAGGGCTCCTATCATCCCTGGGCCATATACACTCATCTCCTGAGTCATGCCGGCTACGAGTGGCGTCACCATACGAGCCACAGATGCTATGCTCTGCCCAAACCCAGTCACTGATCCAATCTGCAATGGAGAGGGGGCATGAAATTTATAAAACTGCAAATGCAGTTTAAGAATGTGCATATAAAAATAGGGGGAGAAAAAATGTATAGGCATGAAAGTCCAGTTCTGTACAGTTGTTGTCAAGTGCGGTGTACAAGGGTTATCTTAAGTTGGTTCCAAGGATTAAGGTACCCCACAGCCGTACAATCTGGTCACCCTGGCTATTGGACACAACCTAACATAGGAATCACAACGGGGTTAATCTGGAACATTTGAAGGTGTTTTTAAACTTGCCTCTTTAAAACAATGAAAGAGATTGGTTAATTATACATTTATATTTAGGAGTAGGGTGTTTAAATGCCCTGGGATCTTAGTGACTATTGCATGCCTTCTTTTTAATAGGGCTATTATGCATTTAGCCATACCTCCTGGTTTCATATGGAATCATTTCAGACAGGCACACGGAAAAACTTGTGCCTGTCAGTCAGTAAGCTAAAAAAAAAAAATTGATTTTAAACACATTTCTTTGTACAAGGGAACATTCTCACCTGTGATGATTGGCACCGACTGATAGTGACTGCAGAACCGCTCACTCGTATAATAGCTGTGCTGATGCACAATGGTATTAAACAAAACAAAAGTAAGGTAAGTGAAGGGGCAGCAGTGAGTCCAATTAAAGCCAGAGTTAGCAGAATAGAACCATGATAAAGCTCTTGCTGAGGGTCCCTGTAGAACCTTGATACTTGGCCAGTAAAGAATCCTGCCAAGGCACTGATGATTCCCTGTTGAAATAATTGTGTACTGTAGTAATAATAAGTGTGTATTTGCTGTTAAGTTATACATTTGTTTAAATTCATTTACTGATATTTTTCAATAAGGAACAAGCCTTTCCAATCCCCTGTTGCACCCATGATGTCTACTACTAGCTCCATACCAAAACAAAGTTTTGCTGTAATATCTTAAACTGATGAGGATGCAGTTGTTGATCGCCAGCTACGTATTCACCTGCTTTAGTCTGCTGGCTTGAATGTTACCTTTGCTAATAGCCTTTTTCCCATGTGATTAAAATCCCAGACAACCAGTGTACTTTGCTCTCTTGCCTAGCCACTAGTCTTTTTTTTTTTAATTGTATTTGCTTACTTCATGTGAAGGGAAAAGTACAGATAACATGGGACACATAAGTCTGCCAAAATTATTTTAACTACATTGCTTAACCAATAGTACTTCATATTATATGCATACACATACATCCCGCTTGACCATCACGACCGGACATAAGGAAGTGATAGCCGAGGCTATATGAACCACTTCCCCGCCGGCACTCGGATGGTAATCTTGGGCATAGCATTTTATCAAATCACCTCATTCTTTGGGGCACACGTGAGGAACACAAATGCAAACAAGCCTGAATGGTCCCCAGGACTATATACAACTGAAAACTCACACCCCAGAAGTGACTCGAACCCATACTCCCACAACTGGTATGTACAGGGACGCCTTAATCCGCTTGAGGCGTCCCTGTACATACCAGTTGTGGGAGTATGGGTTCGAGTCACTTCTGGGGTGTGAGTTTTCAGTTGTATATAGTCCTGGGGACCATTCAGGCTTGTTTGCATTTGTGTTCCTCACGTGTGCCCCAAAGAATGAGGTGATTTGATAAAATGCTATGCCCAAGATTACCATCCGAGTGCCGGCGGGGAAGTGGTTCATATAGCCTCGGCTATCACTTCCTTATGTCCGGTCGTGATGGTCAAGCGGATTAAGGCGTCCCTGTACATACCAGTTGTGGGAGTATGGGTTCGAGTCACTTCTGGGGTGTGAGTTTTCAGTTGTATATAGTCCTGGGGACCATTCAGGCTTGTTTGCATTTGTGTTCCTCACGTGTGCCCCAAAGAATGAGGTGATTTGATAAAATGCTATGCCCAAGATTACCATCCGAGTGCCGGCGGGGAAGTGGTTCATATAGCCTCGGCTATCACTTCCTTATGTCCGGTCGTGATGGTCAAGCGGATTAAGGCGTCCCTGTACATACCAGTTGTGGGAGTATGGGTTCGAGTCACTTCTGGGGTGTGAGTTTTCAGTTGTATATAGTCCTGGGGACCATTCAGGCTTGTTTGCATTTGTGTTCCTCACGTGTGCCCCAAAGAATGAGGTGATTTGATAAAATGCTATGCCCAAGATTACCATCCGAGTGCCGGCGGGGAAGTGGTTCATATAGCCTCGGCTATCACTTCCTTATGTCCGGTCGTGACATATATATATATATATATAAAGTGTTTATTTTATTTCTTACCTGAAATGAAATGAGATATCCAATAACCCTCGGGCTTGCTCCAAAATTTTGAGCGACCAAGAGTGAAAAGTTAGATCTATATACAAGGGAAGAGAAACTGAGGAAAAATCTGATTAGGAAGATATCTCCAAATATCTTCCAGTCAACATCTTTCATTAATGCTAATAACTGACTGCCACCTTTACTCTCAGATTTTCTTGGTGATTGGAGCTGAACAACCCGCGCATCCGGAATGAACAGCCAGCACAGCACTGAAATTAAATATTACAGGCTAATTATCTCAATTATTGAGCATTAGTTAACACAAAAAAATTCTACTAAAAGATACAGCAACTATAATGGAATAAATATGTGCTTATAATGTTATGTGCAAGATCAAAAAGCTTATTATTGTGCATTTTTAATTAACTGGGAGGAGAAATATTTTGAAGATGTTTCCTGGCACAGTTATACAAAATTAGAAGAGAGTCTCTCAGCTGGTGTAACTATGTCTGTAAACATTGAGCAGAAGGAACCTATAACATTATTCATATGTGCTTCTCACAAGGCTTCCTCGGTTCAAATTGAACAGAATAAGCAGATACTCTCAAATAAGCAAGGATGGCATGTGTGGGTGGTGATGATAGTGTGCATGTGAGTGACCCTGAACATTAGAAAATGCTCTCAGATATCAAAAAACCTATAGTAGTTTGGATTTTTTTTTCATAATTCTAATTATTTTGTTTTATATACAGTATATATACAAGAGTTCTTACATTCTTGTACAGTCACTAGCACGCATAGCGTTTCGGGCAAGTCCTTAATCCTAATTTTCCCCGGAATATTACCTGCCAAATTGTTTAACAACCAGGTACCCATTCACTGATGGGTGAACAGAGGCTACACAGTTAAGGATTGGCGCCCAGTACAATAAATCCTCCCCGGCCAGGATACAAACCTAGGCCAAAGTGCTCGAGAAGCGCCAGATGAGTGTGTTACCACTTCACCACAGGGACTGCAACCACCTAATCAATTAACAAATGTCCCAATATCTGTCTGTTGAATATTTGAGACTTATCTGGGTTCTTTATTCTTAATTTAGGCTTTCAAATACAAAGACTCCATTGTGTTGTGTATAGAAGCTGTTTAAAGACTGGAAAAATTTATTAAAATGTATACTGAATTTACAGATTTCTTACTCACCAAAGTTCACTAGGAAGAAAGAAGCACCCAGGTTGCACACAATGTAAAATCCATCCTCAAACTCAGATATATGACCTAAAAGTAAACAGATTATAACAATAAATATCAGGCTTTGAGTGATTAAGAAAAGATCCTTTCTGAGCAAGACATGCATGCTTGAGACAAGATCCATACTGTTCCCATTGAAAAGGATTATGACTGTCTGGGCCTAGTAACCATCTGTAATGGCAGAACGGGGATTTTTTCAAACATGTCCACTAGATCATATTGGAGTAAGGGAGGCTTTGAAGAAAAAGCTTAGTACAGACCACAGAGACTACAGCCGCTTTATGCTACATTCACTCAAAGCGTGACTTTTTAGCCATTACACTCAAATGTTACCTAAGGCAAGCATGAAATGGAAGTGATGTACAGTACTGTACTATAGAAACAGAAAAAATATTGGGAGAATGTTAATGAACTAGAGTGGGATTAAAAGGAACTTTAAAATCTATATCAGATTTAAAAACTTAAGGCAGCAGTCACATTTAGATTCATAGATAAACAGACTACTCTAAAATTTACTTTTATAAATAAATAAAGTACAGATATTCCCAAAATCATAATGAAAACAATCATAACTGAACTGTATGAGACATGCACACTGCTGCTTCATGAACAGAAGTCTGTGATGGGACTTACCTCCGAGCATGGGACCTATGATGAACCCTATGCTGGATGCAGCATTAAACGTTCCAAAAACCTGTGATCTTTCCTCTGGAGAAGTTATGTCTGCAAGCAGAGCACGGCATATTGTCTGACTGTGCTTGAATATTCCTGAAAATAACACAAAAATCAAGCACTGAATGTAGTGAAATGTCCCATTCTGGTCGGCACTTCAGTAGCTTCTTAGAGCTATTAAACTGTCAGATTGTACCATATCTCTGAAGCTTATGCAGGCCTACCAGAAACCAGAACTACAATAAGGTTTTAAGGAAAGAAAATCCAGACGAAACAGAACTGCTTGCTCATCTTAAGCCTTACTCTATCGGCTTGCCCTGGAACATAACCTGCCAATCAGTTTATAATCCGGTCCCCAATTACTGTTGGATTAAGAGGCATAAATAGTTAAGGATCAGTTATTAACTATACCTTCCAGCCCAGGGTTCAAGCGCAGGATGGTATTACTCACAAGGTATGGTGCTACTGCTGCTGCACCACAGGAATTGAGACTATTGTCTTATGCACTTAAACTTTCACCTTTCTCAAAATAGGAATATATGTTTCAATTTGTTAATAGCCCATATGAATCTTGCATCATGTGTTTATGCAAAGTTATAGGTTTTCCGTAATACTGCACTACAATTTCTAATTAATTTTATGACCCTTCCAATGGTTCTGGCATCCACAACCTTCTTTCATTTCATGTCTAAAATTCCTGCCTATGTTTTTCTATGTGGTAATCATATGGCCTTTTTTCTTTCTCTTTATTAGCTTTGGTATATTTAACACCTCCAGCCACTCCTCACATCATGTCTTTGCACCTTTTCTAATTTAATATGCTTCTTCAAATATGGACACTATACAACTACTGCATATTTTAATTTTACTCTCAAACATTGTGAACAACTTTTTTATTTCTCTCAATTCAGAAGCCATTTTGAAATCTGCTAGAGTAGCACAAGCTCCTCGTTGCACGTGGTATGTATGTATGTCTCAGTATGTCTACTATGTGATCCTCTAGCTCCAGAACAGTGTACAATCTAGAGGCACCCCTAGATCAGTTTCTTTGACCTTATTCTTAAGCATCTTTTCATATCATTTGTAGGATGAGTATGGCCTGTTTTTCCTTATTCCACATTCCATTATGTGGTATTTATCCACATTGAATTCCATCTGCCATTTGAGTACAAAATATTAACAGGGAGTCTGACACATTTGCAATAGCCATTTTTTCTGGCAAAATACTACAGTATAGGGTAAAATGAAATAAGAGGGGCTACCCAGAAAATGTATTTCTTTACTCCTAATGCTCTATTTTAATATTGTTGATGGAAATAAAATAGCTATAAAACCCATCAGTAACAGAAAGACAAGGTCTCTTATAGAAAAACACTGAAATAGAAGAATATTATGTATGATTGTGTTAAAGACAGGTATACAGTACAGTACCTGTACTGTATATTGAACACCTGCTCAAATGGAAAACAATACACTGGAAAGCTAGATGCAATGGAAAGATTAATTACATTAGTGTAGTAGAATTGTTTGTTATGCACATGCCACAATATTACAATAGGGTCAAACAATCAGTCATGGCCTCTGGCTTTAATTTTCTGAAGCATTATAGTAGACTTCCGTACAAAAACAATAATGACAGTGAACAGGACATAACGCCTGAACAATAATGGATGAGGAAAATATTTGAACTGATTTCATTACAGGAAAAGATCAACTACCAGGGAGCCTCGTCGGCTCCCTGTAGCTACTAGACTGATATTAGCTAATATTAGTATGGTTCTTTAGTCATATGGAGTTGTCATGCCTACCGAGGACCACTAGCCAGAACATGGTCCTTTCAGAGAGGTGCAGGGAGCAATGGCCTATGAAACTCACTCATGAAAGTATTCATGTCTGCCATCGACCGGGATTGAGCACCCAGAAACTTCATTACACTGTGCACCAAGCGGTGCATGGTGTGATGACGTTTTGCTTGTTTTTCTTTGGAGGAGTTTCTAGCCTTTGTTCAGTCTCAGATTGCATTATTTCTACCAGGAGGGGTCTGTTTTGAAGCACCTACCTTTCTGGGTGCTCAACCCCGGTCGATGGCAGACATGAATACTTTCATACATGTGAGTTTCATAGGTCATTGCTCCCCCCTCGCCTCTCTGAGGGAACCATGTTCTGGCTAGTGGTCCCCAGTAGGCATGACAACTCCATGTGACTGAAGCCCCGTACTAATATTAGCTAATATCAGTCCAATAGCTCCAGGGAGTCCATGAGGCTCCCCCACAGTAAAACAATGTTGTAGCATTCAATGAGAGGGAAAATCTCTGGATAGAAAGCTATGAAAACTATCATCATAAATAGCTACTCCATATGCATGTACTAACCTGCAATAGCTCTGCCCAAAATGATAATGAAGAGAGAACGAGAAGCCCCCATTACCAAGTAACTGATGGCTGTGGCTACCAGGCACACCAGCATTACAGGTCGCCGGCCCACAATATCACTCCACCGTCCCTGCTCAGTGTTCAATTATAACCTGATTCAGCAACATTTATTACATTATGTAATGGTAATATCTTCTCAAAGACATAGCATAGGAAAAAAACCACACTTATGTATTTGTGAATTTTATGTGAGATACATACAAGAGTTGTTACATTCTTGTACAGCCACTAGTACTCGTAGCATTTCGGGCAGGTCCCTGGAATACGATCCCCGCCGCGAAGAATCGTTGTTACAACCAAGTACACATTTTACTGTTGCGTTAAACAGAGGTTACAATTAAGGATTTGCGCCCAGTAAATCCTCCCCAGCCAGGATACGAACCCATGACAAAGCGCTCACGGAATGCTAGGCGAGTGTCTTACCACTACACCACGGAGACTGTAAATGTAAAATTTTAAATGTAAAAATTTATACTAATTATTAGTTGTTGAGATGCAAGTCTTGTTCTAATGACATATGTACTTTACTCAGACCTTGACAAGGCACTCAGGAGAGCCAAAAGACTTTGTGTACATCTTTAAATAACATTCACAAATACACAAGTGTGGGTTTTTATCCTATAATTTACTATATTTATAATAGAAATACTTTCACTATCTTAAATCAGAAATTTAACATATACAGTACATATAACAAACTTTAAAGTGACTATCGGATATTACTGTACCTTTAACTTTAATGTACAAGTGAATAGCCAACATGCAAGTTATATGAAAAACATAACATTGTATGCAAACTTCAGTGCAGACACAGTTACTAATAACAATAAAGACGAATATTATGCACAAAGCAGATATTATAAATACTCATTAAGATTATAAGACTTTACATGCAAAATATAAGTATCTCACGCAGAAAGACCAAGACAGATCCAAGAGTCAGGAGGTCAGGTGGAAGTACTGTAATCTTTAATATATTACCAAGACTAACTACTGCCCATACAGTACTTTTTACATGTACATTTTGTACTGCTATAGTGTACTGTGACAATTATCTTAATGTTGGTTAGGTACTCATTTTGTGGTGTTAAAAGTCTCCGAATTCTTGTAAAATGTTTGATACAGATACAGTATTTGACTGACATGCACAAACAACATTTTTCTCTGCATGTTGTACTTCCTGCAGGCTTTAAGGTGTGCTCAACTGTAAGGTAGGCATTACACATTTCACTGAGAATGTTGTGTGTTAATCAGATATTTGTGTATGAATTTTATGTAAAAATTAAACAATTTGAAAATAAATACTGAAGTAAAAAATGGTAAAACACTCAGAGATCACTAATTCTCAAACAGCTCGAACAGGTCCAGTCCTAATTAGTTTGCTCAAGCTTGGTTACACTACTGTGGACGCATCCTGTAATGCATAGGTCAGTGCTCTCGCTCATTGCCTTATAACTAAGAAGACCAGGCTTCAAACCTTGGGCATGACGACATGACTGGGCACCACTTCTCCACTTCTTGCCTCTGTGCACCTAGCAGAAATTGGGTACTGGATGTAAAGCAATAAAGTGGATCACGTTCTGGGGAAAGCAAGCCAGGTAAGACTAAGAGATATCTTGGAGCAAAATGGTTCGAAGACTTCTGCTCCTGAACCATCTAATATGTAAAAAAAAAAATTAATGGTAATTATCCTTAAACAGAATAAGAAAATTGACATGAAAGATTTTTGCAACCATTAGAACAAGAATAAGAGATCACAATGCAAACTATTAAAATGTAGTGTAAACTAGATAAAGGAATTTTTTTTTACACAGTGATAGATGGTTAGTGAACACTTATTTCTATACCAAAAAATTTACCTTTACTGTACAGCATCAACTTATCTTTGAGATGTACAATGTAACATAGCACCTAACTGATCATCAGAGAATGTTTAAAACATTATTCAAAAAGCCTGATGCATATCTGCCAAGCAGATAATGACTAAAAACTTGTACCATGCTAAAAAGACTTGAAATTTAACTTGATGTATTTTGTTCCTGGTCGATCAAGGGGTTGACACCAGGATTTTCAAAATGCCTCAATTTTTTTATACCACATTTTTATCGACATTTTCTTTTTATTTAACAGAGATTAGAAAATTCTTAAGTTTCATTTACTGTATAGTTTAAGTCCCTAACAACTGCACAAATAATACAGAAGCAATGCTGAAGAGGTGCTAACTTGCATTTTATGTTTAAATAGTTCTTAAACACACTTACTGTACATTACACTAGTTAAATATCAAAGAAATATAAATCTGAATGCATGTTCAAGAGTAATTCTGGTTACGCCACTTCGAGGGAGGTATCACCTGTCAAAAGAAGTCATATATTGCAATACAAACAATATTATGAACATTCTTAAAAACAGAATTGTCAACCCTTTCTTCAGCACATATATTTAACAATATAGACATATAGAGGAAAATAGAAAATGAATATGGGTAATTATAGTAGCTGTTACCTGATGTTGGTTTTAACAGCACTTTTATTCTCCAAGCCCAGCCTAGACCCAGGATTGTTTGGTGACAACTTGCTCCATTAGCCTGCAGGCTCACATATCTACTACAACCCAGCTGATTCGGCACTTCCCACAGGAATTTGGCCAATTGCCTCTTGAAAACATCCGCTTTTGGTCTGGCAGTATTTGTGAAGGAAGTGTGTGAGTTGGGCTAGCAGGGAGAAAAGATGTGGGAGGGATGTATGCGTGTGTGTATGTGTGGTTGTTGGGTGTGAGTTAGTTGGGTTTGTATAATCTGTGATTTTATTTTATCATAAAAATTATAACCTGCAGTAACAAATACAACACCAGTATAATTTGAACAATTCATTATGAAAGGAAAAATGATAAATTGAGCAAATAAAGATGAAAAATAATGCAAACTTGAGACAGCAGATGAAAGTATGAAGAGAGAAGAACATGTTATGAACATACCATGGCAGGGCTGGAAAATAACTGGATCGCACCGTAAATTGAAGTAACACCGCCAGCAACAAAGTGAGAAGCACCTAAACTCTTTACCATTGGTAAGATCAGGGGCAGGATTAGGCTCACTCCAAGAAGATCCTGAAATATGACCTCAATTGTAAAGCTTTTTCTTAATTACAGCTGACTTTATCAAGTACAGTAATACACATCATACTAACAATACATTAAACTTAAGATGTCAGCTTACTGTTCAAGTTTACCGTAATCAATACAAGAGATGTATTTTTGGAGGCGAAACTGTATATGCCTGTATATATTTCTTGTTTCCTTATAAGAAATTAGATGCATTAGTGATATCTTTGTGCTTGTGAAGCACTGTACACAGTTCAGTATCTCACACATAAATGAATGAAATTAACTTACTCTTAACATTCATATAAGTTTAGCAGCACGTTGCAAGCATTCTGAGGCAAGAGAAATAGCAAAAAAATGACTGGCTTAACTGATAGTGTTAAATCTATGACCAATCTGTTATCAGTACAGTATATCAACTATCTGTTACTGTGTGTCAAATATCTATCACAGATGACATACAGGTAATGTGGCAGATACAAAAATAAAAAAATGATAAATAATTACCACAACAAAATATTTATCATTTTGCAAGGATATTTTATCTGACATGCAATTCAATCATATGTGCAATAAAAAATATTTGTGCACAGTCAAATTACTGACAGCCATCTGGCCCAAGGTGACAATAATATATTAGTCATTCTACTAAAAAGTAATGGAGATGAAAGAAAAAACTCGGAACTAATACACTAAGCATCCCAAATTACAATTCTACCATAAAATTAAACAAGCTAGCCATGAAGACACTAACAGAGAAAAAATGAACAGTAGACAAGAATTGTTTGGCACTCAAGAGTTTACAAAACAATAAATAGCAAAAATATAATACCAAGGCACAGAGAACAAATCTGAACATCAAAATCTTAAAATTGGAAGAATAAATACAGTAGACATTAAATAAAGCCACTGACTGTATATGCAAAGTGTTTTGGGCAAAACTTTGACTAATTCAGCAACAATTTTTGTTATGTATATTGGGGTAAACTTAATTCTAAATGAGAAGTAAGCTAACATATGTGAGATTTGCAGATAATGAGTCACAATAATATGACAGAAGATATGATGACCAAACCACATATCATAAAATGATAATGGATAATGGACTTGATAATGATCCAGGATGGACCGAAATGTCTTCGTTTCTCCATTTTATGATGTGTGGTTTGGTCATCATATGAGAGATGTTCAAGAAATTTAGTAATGATAACCAATATAAACTAACTTGTGCAAGTTCAGCCTGAACAATTAATGTACAATAATTACGAGGGAATTATTACTTACCAAGAAACCCATTATATAGACAAGGCGATGAATTCTGGTTACAGTCATTATTGCTTATCACTGTAAAAAAAATTAACATTAATTTGCTAGTTATGATTACATTTTTAAATTAACCATATACTATCCACAACATAAGATTAGAGTTAAAGGGCAAACTTAGGTACTATACTGTAGATTACAAATAATTATACTATATTTTCATTACAGTACTCTATAAACAGAACTAAGTGAAGAATATTACAGGTAATTAATTACAATTATGCATAAAGAATTATTGTAAATATTATCACAACGTAAAAAATTTTGTTCCTAGATAGTATTATTTTTTTATTGGTTATGCCTTCAAAGGATAGAAAATGGCTATTATTCCCCTCAAACTTTACTTTGACCTTTGTCTTACACAGCGTAGGGAAGAAGCCTTAAAGGTACTTGAAGATTGGTGACTCCTTATCTAGAGCTGTGCCAGTGTGACACTTTGTTTCACAAGTCTGCAGCCTTCAAGTACGCTCAAGATGTCTACGCTAAAGTGTCTTAAGCACAGGTCAAAGCAAAGTTTGAGGGGAATAATAGCCATTTTCTATCCTTTGGAGGCATAAGCAATCAAAAAATAATACCAGGTCTAATAAATAATACTTGTTACTGGGTCTAATAAAATAATACTTGTTACTGGGTCACTTCCACACCTTGTTGACCTTCAATAATACTTAATATACAGCCACCCATAATTCTCTTTCAGTTGCATTTCCTGAAGCAGTAATTCTTATCTTATCAATTGTAATCAGTCACTGGTTGTGGACCTTCTGATAATGTATCAGTATTTTGCTGACAATTAAAAAGTATTGGGGAGGGTAAGTAAAATTTTTCTAGGTAGCACAGTCAAGGGAGTTTAACAACACAAAATATGACATTAGGGAATTCTGCAGAAATAAGAGAACAGTAGTTTCCTAAGTTATTCATAAATTATTTATTTAAAATAGGTTAAGAACATCCTTCGCACTGACAATCCTATTTTTGACAATTAATTGAAGCTACAGAAACAGAACCAAGGCTCATATATATCAATCTCAGGAACTCCATTGCCAGTTCCTACTTACTTCTAAGGACTACTATCACCACCCCACACTATTCCTTTGGAAGTTCACCATGCACTGATCACCACTGGAGGACCAACTCCTTCTCTAATCTTTCTCCTATCTCCCTTTCTCTCATCCATAAAGGTTGCAGACAGGACCATATTCACAATCTCTGTCCTCAAAGGATATTTTCATGCCCAACACTACTATCAGCATGTTTATAAACATTTCATATTAGGGTTTCCTCCAAGGTCTGATGGGCAATTTAGATAAGGATTAGGACAAGCTAGACAATACACATATTAATACTATTAATTAAAAGGATCTTACGGGATTTACATACATGGGGTGAACTCCTGTTCTCTCATCTATGTCCCATTTAACAATGTGTCAAGAATTGAACAACCCATCAATTAAGAACACAGCAAGTGTCACAGAAATGAGTCAGGCACATAACCTATTAAGAATATAGCAATGGGTCAAGAACATAACCTGTCATAACCACAGTTGCTGCAACCGAAGTGGTGTTGCCCACATGATAACTTGCTGTTAGTAAATTTTTAAGACTGTAAAAAATGTTTTTACCTGAAAAGATTATATGAGATGACTTCTAAAACTACAAGAACTGTGGAGTGAGGCTCTTGAAAAACTGTACTTAAGTCAAACTTGGTTCTTAACACTCTGGCATTGCCTGGGGATGTTATTATTTATGATGTGCGCAACGTGTCTTGATGACTTTGGTGGCAAGGGCTGGATTCTGTATTCATGCTGTTGTTGATTGAGGGACGATGACGATCAAGAGATCGGATGTTGATGGTTTTGGTGGTGAGAACTGGATAATGTGTTGATGGTTTTGGTGGTGAGGGCTAGTTGTTCTTGATGCTTGGTGAAGGATGGATGATGTTATTGGGTTACAGACATGGCTACAGCACAAGGCGTTATGTACACCGTGTCAGCAAAGAACTATTAATAATCACAAACATCCTTTTGAAACTGGAAACACAATTGGGCATAATGACAAAACTTTCCCATGTTAGTCACCGTATCCCCACCCGAAGAGCCAACCGGAAAACAGTGAGGTGAGATGAGGGGGATTCTTATCAACTACCCTGTGGCCTCAGACGATAAGGTTGTCAGGCGTCGTAACTGCAGCTCGTCGAAGAGGTATGCCTAACGACTGTATCGAGACCCAATAGGCAAAATCGCGTTAAGTGTTCCGGCAGTTCCCGGGTGTCAAGACGTTCGCTCGGCGTCAAGATTGTCGGCGAGCGACGGATGTTGTGTTGATGGCGTCAGCTGACCTCTACTCTTTCCTTGTTACAAGGTTTACGTTTTCTATGGTTGGCTGTTTGTGTAGTTTAAATTGAATGAATAGATGTCAAATGCTACTTGTGTAAAGGAGGAAATGTGTATGTTTATCTCTCAGAATGTTCGGTAATATGTTTATTGTTTGTGATGTGTGTCTATGTATGTATTAACACGATGTACTGAACGGGGTGAGAATAGCTTGAGCTACCTCATCCCTTTGTGTGTATTTTACCTCAATAAACTTATTTCAATTTCAATTTCAATGTCAAATGCATCCCAATTTGGTATTTTATATAAAATTAAACCTTTCATATATGCATAGCTGAAACAGTGTTTTAGTTTAGTTCATTTATTATGCACCCCATACCCATCTTGTGGGCGGTAGTGGAAAGGGTTACAGAGGCACATAATGAGTTCACAATTCATTTAGCTAAGAAAATTACAATCTTGATGAGCTAGTTACAAAATTCAATGCACATTGTGACGATAATCTCTTTCAAGAGAGATTGAGCCTGCTCTTCCCTCCAAAGTACGTCCCATTAACAAATAATATAGAAGATATATCCAACAAGTATCTCCAAAACGTTTTGCCCAGAGAGCAAAACGTATCCAGCACCGGCGCACCTGCTCGCCCCCGCCACCGTTAACCGGCAAACTGCTTGTCCATCGCCTGCCGGTCGCTGATTGGCTGGTGCCCAGTCGCAACTGCCCCACCACCCTCCGCCACGAGTTGATGTCTGGGCTACAGCGACCTGGAGAAGGCAGAATATCTCAGTGCTCCACACAGTTGACACGTCTCATTGGTAGACTAAGCCTTGGCTTACGTGTACTAAGGGAGGTGGCAGCTTGAAGCCAATATTCCTGCACTAATATTTATTTTGCTATTATTCACTTGTCTTAACGTAACTTTTCATTTGCCAGTGATTATTCTTATTATTTTGTTTGTTGATTTGTCTGTTACATTTTTTACTCAATTTTATTCATGTCTTGCTTTTCTAACGTAATTAAAATTTTCTGACCAGGGGGAGAAAGATACTGGCAGTATGGGGCGTTAAAGTTTATTGAAGATTAAATTCTGCAGAACATGTAAATATATAAAGTTCACATAAAGTAAGTAATTATATAAAGTTTATATTAAACATTATTTATATATTATTTATATATATTATTTTGCGAGGGCAGCGGCGAGGGCAGGCGGAGTGAGGCGGAGCCCCGTTGTGCGCCCGTATTTATACGGCCCCAAACTGCCCGCGCAACGCCGCGGGACGCGCTGCGCAAATGTTTCTTTCTCCCCCGCCAGAAACATCCCCGCTTGTGATGCAAGCAGTGACCATTTCATTGTTAAATTTACTTGTATTTTGTGTGTCTTCCCATTACCTTACCACAGACGAAAGTTCCAGCTTTTCTCTTTTTAGATTCAGATTCAGATTCAGATGTTTATTCAGGTAAGGTATATACATACAAGTGATGTTACATTAATGGATTGATATATAGATAGAGCTAGTACATACAATGCCTAAAGCCACTATTACGCAATGCGTTTCGGGCAAGAAAAACATTAATATCTAGAACTTAATACTAATTGAGCATAAAGAATAAAAGATGTTGAGAACAAATACAAATAAAGATAAAAAAAAAAGGGGGAACATGACTGAAAAAGCAGCACAAATACAATAGGTTGACAAACAGTGTTGATTACAAAAAAGAAAAAAAAAAGAAAATAACAGACATGGGTTGACAATAGAGGAGTGAGGTAGATTACAGGGAATTTATTAGGTAGTGTTTAGTTTTTATCTTAAACTGGTTGAGAGAGGGACTGTCTTTAACATGGTTGGGAAGGTCATTCCACATTCTGGGCCCCTTGATTTGCAGAGCATTTCTAGTTTGATTAAGACGTACTCTAGGAATATCAAAACTGTATTTATTTCTGGTGTGGTGCTCATGGGTTCTGTTACAACCTTCTATGAAGCTTTTAAGATCAGGATTGGCATTATAGTTTAGCGTTTTATATATGTATAATACACATGAGAGAATGTGCAGTGACTTAATATCTAACATATTAAGAGATTTGAGTAGGGGTACCGAGTGATGTCTGGGGCCAGAGTTGGATATTGTTCTAATAGCGGCTTTGTGTTGGGTAATTAGAGGACGTAAGTGATTTTGGGTAGTAGAACCCCAAGCACAAATACCATAGTTGAGATAAGGATAGATAAGGGAGTAATAGAGAGTCACCAGAGCAGGGCGTGGTACATAATATCTGATCTTAGAAAGAATGCCCACAGTTTTTGAAACTTTTTTTGATATATTTAGAATGTGTCCCTGGAAATTCAGCTTGTTGTCAATGAGAATGCCAAGGAATTTGCCATCTAATTTGTTACAAATTTGGGTATTGTTTATTTTGAGATTTATAAGACTAGAGGATTTATTGCCAAACAGAATATAGAAGGTTTTGTCAATGTTAAGGGTGAGTTTGTTGGCAGTTAGCCAATGATGGACTTTATTTAGCTCAGTATTTACTGTGGCATTTAGAGCAAGAGGGTCAGGACTGGAGTAAATGAAGGTTGTGTCGTCAGCAAATAGAATTGGTTTGAGGTGTTGGGAGGCATTTGGAAGGTCATTAATGTAGATGAGAAAGAGGAGAGGGCCAAGTATGCTGCCCTGAGGAACACCAATGTTGATGGGTAGGGTGGGAGAAATTGTATTATTCACAGAAACATATTGGAGCCTGTCAGTAAGGTAGGACTCGAGGTATTGTAGGGAGTGCCCTCTGACTCCATAATGATGTAATTTAAGAAGAAGGTTATGGTGGTTGACAGTATCAAAAGCTTTACGCAGGTCCACAAATAACCCAACAGGGAGCTCCTTTTTTTTTCTTTATGTGACGAGGCCATGCCCCTAGCTTTTGAAACAGCCGAACACCAACGCGTTACCGTCACAACATCCTCACATCAACAATGGGCTCGAGACCGACCACAGGTACAGTTTCTAAATTAAGCAACTGACATGTGCTAACATTCCCCCAATATATGTGCCTAAGACACACAACTTCACTATTGTAATCACTGCTATCATTTTATATCATGATTGTTGTGTTGAACGCGAACTTTACTACAATGTACCTAGAATTAATCCTTAAATTATGGTACAATGTACCTGTTGATAGTTCTCAAATTTTACTATAATGTACCTATTAATTTTCTTCAAATTTTCTTACAATGTACTTGTTAACATTCTTCAATTTTTTCTACAAATTACCTACTTAAAATTATCTGTTAGATTAAGGACCTGCTCGAGGGGCAACAACTCCAAGTTCAACAAGCCACAATGTGGAACAGAAAACAGGAGATACTTTTTTACATATCTATACCATGAGAGAATGTCTGTCTATCTGTGTAAAGTTGGAGGCCAGACGCTTGGGGCTAGCCTTACCCAAATTTGCAGGGGAAATGGTCTGGGGTACGGTACGGACATAGGTTAAGATTTAGATTTAGATTTTTTATTCAGGTAAAGGTACATACATTGAGTTACATACATAATGTTGGATTTAAAGATAGAGATAGTACATACAATACCTAAATCCACTAATACGCATAGCCTTTCGGGCTTGACCTAGGTTAAGCGATTAAATAAATATTAGTAATTAATGACACTCTCCGTCCAATTCTCACGGATTCAATTCTGATCGAATGTGAAATATTGGTTGAAATACCCTAAGAATTTCTCGTCGTCAGAACAAAATTCCTTAATATCACACAGTAGTTTCATTACGCCCCAATATTATATTTTATGAAAGGGGAAGAAGGGCTAAGCAAGGGGAGGGACCACGGGGTGAAGCTGTGGGGAATGAAATGCAAAGGTGTAATTTGATAATCAAACATGAGGTATTTATAAACAACAACAGTAGCAAGCAGACAACACAATAGGGTGTATCAGCCAGCAGACAAAAAAATACAGCGGGGGTGTAGCAATCATCAGACTATAGACTAGGTGCAGCAGCCAGCAGAGAACATGGTATGGTGCAGCAGCCAGGAGACAACACAGTAGGGTGCAGTAGACAACACAGTAGGATGCAGCAGGTGACACAATACGCTTGACCAGCCAGCAGACAATACAGTGGAGTACAACAGACGACACAACATGGTGCAGCAGACGACACAATAGGTGCAGCACCCCAGCAGACGACACAACGAGGTGCAGCACCCCAGCAGACGACACAACTTGGTGCAGCAGCACCCCAGCAGACGATGCAGTAGGGGTACAGCAGACAACACGGGAGACGGGAGTGACGCGCCGAACCCTCTCCAAGAAGCAACTTACTCTCGTGTAATTTATCCGTAAGAAGCCTGAGCGTGGTATTGATTTTGGTAACAAATGCCGGTCCGGAGTGTACAATAGTGGTGTGACATAGAGCCTGCAGAAGGTGGTGGCTCAAGGGAAGAGAGGCTCTGTGCCGATACCTCTGTGCTTCCTTCCCTGGGGTCGCCATCAGGGATCTGTGTCACCCTCTAGGGGTCTGTGGCTCCGAACTGTGTCACCCTCTGGGGTCTGTGCCACCCTCTGGGGTCTGTCTGGACTGTGTCACCCTCTGGGGTCTGTGCCACCCTCTGGGGTCTGTCTGGACTGTGTCACCCTCTGGGGTCTGTCTGGACTGTGTCACCCTCTGGGGTCTGTGCCTCTGGACTGTTGTTACCCTCTGGGGTCTGTACCTCTGGACTGTGCCACCCTCTGGGGGTCTGTACCTCTGAACTGGGGTCTGTGCCTGTGGACTGTTGTCACCCTCTGGGGTCTGTGCCTCTGGACCGTATCATCCACAGGGTCTGGGGTCTGCCACTGGTCTGGGAGACCTTCAACAACCCACCCGACCAACATTCTTGCCGACATCTTGCAAAACGTAAGAACATGATCGCGTTTTGTGTTCTTGTTACAAGTCAAGGCTATTTTGACACATAATTATATGGAACTAACACAGGAAGGTCCTAGTTTGAATAGGCCTAGGCCAAAGCAGCAATCTCTAAGGAGGAGGAGGAGAATAGGTTAGTTTAGTCAGCAGGTTTCTGTATAGCAGGCTCCACCAGTCACCCCAACTCATCCTGTAGGCCTGTGTACAAATATAGCAGCACACTAAAGTCTTGTCTCTAATTTTACAGTGCCCTCATGCATCTTTATCCAATTTTACAATGTCCAGTGCATCTTTATCCAATTTTACAGTGGCCCCCTGCATCTTTATCCAATTTTACAGTGGCCCAGGCATCTTTATCCAATTTTACAGTGGCCCAGGCATCTTTATCCAATTTTACAGTGGCCCAGGCATCTTTATCCAATTTTACAGTGGCCCAGGCATCTTTATCCAATTTTACAGTGGCCCAGGCATCTTTATCCAATTTTACAGTGGCCCCCCTGCATCTTTATCCAATTTTACAGTGGCCCAGGCATCTTTATCCAATTTTACAGTGGCCCAGGCATCTTTATCCAATTTTACAGTGGCCCCCCTGCATCTTTATCCAATTTTACAGTGGCCCCCCTGCATCTTTATGCAATAAGCACAGCACCCTGCATTCCTGTATCTGAATGATAGGAAGGCAGTTTACTGTACAGAACATATACAACACTGGTACCCCACATTGGCCTGTAGCCTATCCAATTTATTTAGAATACTGTACTTATGTAAGAGTTCTCAAGGTTTAAATGCTTTTGATTTGTGCCCCGAGTTATGGAATTGGATACTGTATCCTCATTGTGGTCCACTCCAAGCAACAGCCTCTTGGAGGACCAAGTTATCACACATCAAACCTGGCCCCAGACTGGGCTTTGGGAGTAGAAGAACTGAAATCCTTCCCAGGTGAACTCCAGTAATGTATTATACATTATATAGTACTATAGTTTTGTAAAGCAAACAATATTGCTTCAATATTTGCAGTGTGTGCGATATTTGGAGAATGGCATCAAATATTCTTGTAGGGTTCAATAAGTTGTTTCTTGGGACTATGTGTGGTTCTTCTGCCCCTTGATGGCCTAGTCCCTCTTGTTCATTAGCACTCTGGCTGTTGCTGCTTGGTTGCCCCTGTTCTGTTCTGCTGTTCTGCAGTAAAGGTCTTTTGGTAAATTTTGTTTTCTTTAGTCACTGTTGTTCATGGTTTGATTCGGGCTCTCGGCCTCGAGCTTTGTGAGCCTGCTTCCACTTTGCTCCAGTTGTAGTGACATCTTGTTTCAATCCTAGCTGTTCTCCTGGTTTTAAGCCAAAGTGTTGATAGAAAGGCAGTTTAAATCTTTAATATTGAAATGAAGGTGTTGTTTTAAATAAATGTGTAATTTTCTAGGTGTATAATGCTTATGAATTGAATTTGCTTTGGAAAGATTTTCCATCAGAAACACTGGTAAGTAGATTAGAGGAAAATATGCCAGACCATAGGGTTGGCAAAAAAATAAATGTATAGTTTACATTGGCAAAAAAATAAATGTATAGTATATAAAAAATTTTATACTAAAATAATTAGTATAGCTATAATGCTATACTAATGGTTTATCCCATGCAGATGGCATACATTAAAAAATATGGCTGTTGGTAAAGCTGCCAAAACAATATACAGGTAATTAATAACTGCCTTGACTGATTTTCTGAACTCTATTGCCTCTCCAAAAATGCTTGGTACAAAATACAGTACATCAACTTTGTACTTTCCTTTGATAATTACTTGGTACAATACACTTACGCTATACATATATCTTTCTTAGTTGATAAAGTGCTTAGATTAGATTACACCAAGTGAAGATAGGGGAAGTAAGTAATTATCAAGAGAAGGCTCCAAGCCAGGGAGATTAGAAGATAGTGGAAGATGCAATCCTCATGGGGAGAAATTGTAAAACAGTTCAGCAAGGATAAAGGAAGGCAAATCAATTACAGAATTAGATTTTAGAGCAAAATAAAGAACATTGATATGTATATATAGTATACTGTTTGCATTTTTTATACTGTATATATACTGTGTTCATTTTTTTATGATATTTTGAACTATTCAGGACCAAGATGAGTGAGGAGTGTGACATAGTAACACCACTAGAGCCACTCACCCCTTCTTCCTGTGGTGGCATCTCGGCCTCCTCCTCTTCAGAGTTCTCCCACCGCAAGTTCCACCGCCAGGTCCCACACAGGTTAGTACTGTACTTCATGGTGTTATTGTCGGACTGAATTCAGGTAAGTACAATACCTGTCTATTGCTATTGCTTCTGTTCTGCTAAGTGCTGAAGCTGCAGTACAATTGTAATGTACAGTTGTAATGTAATGTGAAATGTACAATACAGTACAATTTGCTATGCTGGTTAATACAGTACAATACCTCTCTGGTGCTACTACTAGGTCTGATATACAAGCATCCTCCTAAGGTTTCCCAACATCAAGAAAACGGTCAAATTAAAAGTGTCCTTATCCTAACCTACCAGAGGACCCAAAACAGAAAACAGAACAGTACATCTCTTTTGGGAGCTGCTTCCATTTTCTAGTACGACAATGTTTGGCCTTATGTAACACCTATGAGCGAAATGTGACTTCTTTGTAAGAGGACAGGTTGGATATAAATACAGTACAGTACTATGTATGTCAGTATCTCCCGTGGACAGATGCTAGGTCCATCACAAGTTACTACTACAAGTACTACAGTACTTCCAAGTTCAAAATAGGTTAGTATCGCCCTATATTACTATTAGATCTTTTATAGTTTAATACATACTTAGTACTACTGCCAGGTCTCAAAAGTTTGTTCCCTCTCAGTACTACAGTACTGCCATGTTCCACACAAGTTAGCATCTCCATAAAACTATTACTAGATACCACATGCTAGGTGAGTGTACCTGTCGGGGAGTGGGGGTCTAGTTAGTAATGCGAGGCGTGTATGTACCTGTTGGGAAGTGGGGGTCTAGTTAATAATGTGAGGTGTGTGTACGTGTGTTCACCTAGTTGTGTTTTGCGGGGGTCCTCTTTTCTCTTTCGGCCCGCCTCTCAACTGTCAATCAACTGTTTTTTACTAACTTTTTTTTCCACACCACACACACCCCAGGAAGCAGCCCATGACAGCTGACTAACTCCCAGGTACCTATTTACTGCTAGGTAACAAGGGCATTCAGGGTGAAAGAAACTTTGCCCATTTGTTTCTGCCTGGTGCGGGAATCGAACCTGCGTCACAGAATTACGAGTCATGCACGCTATCCACCAGGCTACCAGGCCCCTAACACACACACACACACACACACACACACACACACACACACACACACGTGTGTGTGTACGTGTATGGGTACCTGTTGGGATTGGGGATCTAGTTAGTAATGTGAGGTGTGTATGTACCTGTTGGGGAGCGAGGTCAAGTTAGTAATGTGAGGGGTGTATTCCTGTAGGGGGGAGGGGTTCGAGTTAGTATTGTGAGGTGTGTGTTCCTGTAGGGTGGAGGGTGGTCAAGATAGTTATGTGGGGTGTGTGTTCCAGAAAGGGAGAGGGGTCGAGATAGTATTGTGAGGTGTGTTCCTATGGTGGAGGGGACAGTTTTGGAAGCTATCGTTTATGTCTATTAATTAATGTATCCATGAAAGGGTCTTCACATTAAATTCATGACTGTAATACCAGTTTTATCATTTGCATAAATGTGTACAGTATTTTATATATACCATTCCATCTACGTATATAAAAGAGAACATCTGTCTGCTTGTCTGAGGCTGGATGCCAAATGCTTGCAGTTAGGTTTGCAAAATTTAACATGGGGGTTGTGTGTGTGTGTGTGTACTCACCTAATTGTGCTTGTGGAGGTTGAGCTTTGGCTTTTTGGTTCTGCCTCTCACCAGTCACTCTACTGGTGTACAGATTCCCGAGCTTCTCGAGCTCCATCATATCTTCATTTGAAACTGAGTATGGAATCAGCCTCCACCACATCACCTAATGCATTCCATTTACTAACTACTCTGACACTGAAAAAGTTTTTCTAACGTCTCTGTGGCTCATTTGGGTACTCGGCTTCTACCTGTGTCCTCTTGTGCATGTACCACCTGTGTTAAATAATCCATCATTGTCTGCACTGTCACTGTCAGTTCCCCTGAGAATTTTGTATGTGGTGATCATGTCTCCCCGAGCTCTTTTGTCTTCCAGCGATGTGAGGTGCAGTGTGGTTCACACAGCCTTTCCTCATAACTCATGCCTCTTAGTTCTGGGACTAATCTAGTGGTATTCCTCTGAACTTTTTCCAGCTTCATCTTGTGCTTGACAAGGTACAGGGTTCATGCTGTGGCTGTATGCTGCAGGATTGGCCTTACATATGTGGTATACAAGGTTCTGAAGGATTCCTTACACAGGTTTCTGAAGGCAGTTCTGATGTTAGCCAGCCTCACACACGCCCCTGATGTTATTCTTTTGATATGGGCTTCAGGAGACAGGTTTGGCGTGATATCAACTCCTAGATCTTTCTCTCTGTCCGTTTCATGAAGGACTTCATCTCCCATTCGGTATCAAGTGTCTGGCCTCCTATTTCCTCTGCCTAGTTTCATCACCTTACATTTACTTGGGTTGAACTTTAGTAGCCATTTGTTGGACCATTCTCTCATTTTGTCTAGGTCATCTTATAGCCTCATACTATTTTCTTCTGTCTTAATCCTCCTCACAATTTTTCCATCATCAAAAAAATAGGGCTGGGTACCTTATCTAGTACCGTATATAAACACTCTTGTTAGGCATTCTGTTGAACAGTGGTCATTGCAATGAATTCACAACTGAAAGGCTCTGGGTTCTATTCCCACTGCAGAACAGAAACGTCTGGGCACGTTTCATTTCACCTGATGCCTGTGTTCACCTAGCAGTTAGTGGGTACCCCAGGAGTTGGACACCTTTTTATGGGCTGGCCCCAAAAAACAGTAGTTGAATATTGAGACCTTGATAAGCATAACAGGATTCCTGTCTCCTGAAAGGACTGGATTGTTATAGAAGTTCTAATTCTATTTTCTTGTTGGCAAATTCAAGAAATGTAATAATCCTGAATCTTGAGAGGGGGGAGGTGATGACCCCGATCGACATCTTAAACTTTTAATGGTTAATAGCATTTCTCCAAACATGTCCTGATGTGAAGTGATTCTCCAGTTGGTGTACTGTACACATTTGTACAGTACAAATATATATAGTTTCTCTCTCTCGCTCTCCCTCTCTCTCTCGCTCTCTCTTTCTTTCTTTCCCCCTACAGCCACTTTGATGTGTTATACTTAGATCCAATTTCAGGATTCCTTCAAATTATGAAGGGGGAAGGAAGGAGCGAGTGAGGGAGGGGTAGGACAGGAGTGGGGTAGAGTGTGAGGTGGGGAGACCAGGTATGGTGTAAAGAGTTGAGGGAGTGAGATGACAGGTGTGTGGTGGAGAGGGAGTGGACCCGTGTGATAGAAAGTGAGGGAGCGTACAGGTGTAGTCGAGAGTGGGAGGTCAGGTGTTGGGGGAATGCTGTTGAGTGACCACATGTGAATGTGGTTACGTGGTTGTGGCTTCACAAACCAGTTCTGCTATTATTTTTTGTTTTTGTTTTTTTGACTGGGCGTAGGACGTGCGTCACTCCGTCCACCCTGCCACACGCTGGCCTGCCTAGTGTGTCACGCTGAGGCGCGCGCTCGCCTGGCTAGTATGTATAATGCCTAGGCGCACTCGCACCTAGCTAATGTGTCACATTGAGGCGCGCGCGTCATGCCTGACCAGTGCGTCAGTTTTGGGAGCACGCGTACCGGGTTAATGTGTCATAGTGTTGTGCGCGCGCGCACCTGGCTTATGCGTCAGTGTGATGCGCACACGCGCCTGGTTAATGTGTCTCAGTGTGGTGCGTACGCGCACCTGGCTTATGCGAAAGTGTGGTGCGCACGCGCACACCTGGCTTATGCGTCAGAGGTGCGCACGTGGCTAATGCATCAGTGTGGTGCGCACGCGCGCCTGGTTAATGCGTCAGTGTGGTGCGCGCGCGCGCTCCTGGCTAATGCGTCACATTGCAACCTGCCCTCTTACAAGGCACGTCGCTTTTCGCTCGTATGCGTTACATAAGCCCAAAAATTGTCGTACTAGAAAATGGAAGCGACTGGCGAAAGTGACGTACTGTCCCGTTTTCTGTTTTGGGTTCTCTGGCAGGTTAGGATAAGGGCACCTTACATTGACCGTTTTCTTGACCTTAGGAGGACGGGCTGCTTCATTGAGGTGCGCACTCGACAAAGGAGAGCGAGGTTGAGTCAGGTGGGGTGTGGGGGTGGAGGTTGACTGAGGTGGGGGGGGGGGGGTGGAGGTTGAGTGAGATGTGGGGGTGGAGGTTTAATAAGGTGTTGGGGGGGGGGTTGGCACACCCCTCCACCACCACGACACAACCTATGTTAAACTATTGCTAGAATATATATAATCGGCCTAAAATCCGCACCTTGGCAAGCAAAAAAAAAATATTGAAAATGTAGATTTTCATAGATTTGCTAGATAGAATAGATTTCATTCATAGATTTCTATTTGATAGAATAGATTTTATTTATAGATTTCTATTTGATAGAATAGATTTCATTCATAGATTTCATAGATTTGCAGCAAGATTACCGGCTTGGTGGCTTCTTTTGGTAATTACTTATTTGCGATAAGATTAGTGCCAAACCTAAGAGGGTAGATTAACTAACTCTTCCAACCCAAGAGGAGAGAAGAAACAGAGGGAGTATGATCTTAAGATACTGAGAGGAATAAACAAGGTGGGTCAAGGACATATTCTTTAAACTGAGAAAAGCAAGTGGAAGCTGGAAACACAACCGAGTCTAAGAAATGTAAGGAAATACTCGTAGAGTGTAATGGTAGTCAGTAAGTGAAATGCAATGGTGGAAGTCGTGGAAGCCACCTCCACCCGTAACTCTAAGGCCATAGGGACAAAGAATTGGAATACCATGAGAGTAAATTATATCGCCAACAGATGCAAGAGAGTTAGGAGGCGATGCAGAAGGCGGTAGAGCTCACCTTCCCGTAGTCAGGGTCAGATGAACACTACTTTCCTCGCCACATTAATCTCTCCTCGTCACGTTAATTGATCAGTTGGCGGAGATGTGGCAACTGGTGGGAGGGGGGGGTCTATATAAGCGTGTTGGTTACCACTCGCCTCATAGCGCGAGTGTGAATCACAGCT